TTTGGTGCCATCCATAGGCAGATGATACCCAGCTCGCTCTCCTTTCCATCTTTTTCTAAGGTAGCTGTGGAGGTCCTGAACTGATGCCTGGAGATGGCAATCGACTGGATGTGGGCAAACAAAATGAAGTACAATCCAGACAAGACAAAGATGCTCAATGTCAGTAGAGCATCAGCCTAATTCTCCATGAACTTATCTTTTAAAGCCATCCAAGTTGGTAGCCATTGCTGCCTTCTGTGAGGATTAACCAGTTCATACTTGGGAGTTCATCTGGATTCGACCTTGACACTAAATGCCCAGGTGTTGACCAAGAGTGCTTTTGCTCAATGGAGACCAGTGTGCCAACCGTACCATTCCTGGAGAACGCATACCTAGCCATGGTGACATGTACCAAGCCAGAGTCACATCATGTCTGGAGTATTGCAATGCATTCTACACAGGCCTGCCTTTGACAAGTACCCAGAGATTACAGTTGGCCCAGAATGTGTTGGCCAGATTTTTAAGGGGTTGCATATGGGGAGCATATGGTTCTCTTACTGAAATAGCTGCACTGCCTTCCCATTTATTTCATGGCACACTTCAAAGTGCTGGTGATGACCTATAAAAGCCCTAAATGACTTAGGACTGCCTTCGCCCTGTTGAGCCTGCCTGGCTATTGAGATCATATTTTTAAGTTTTTGCATTACTACTGTGTTTCTGGATTTTGATCATGTAAGCCGCCTCGAGAGATGCACTCAGAAAGGCAGTCAATAAATATTTTAACTAAATAAAATATTCCGAGGCCCTTCTATGTGTCTCCATCTTCCCTGCGATATGCTTGGTTGGAACCAGGGAGGCCTGGTCCTCTTCAACCAGGCCTTTGGCTGATTAATATTCTATGGCCATTTAAAGGTGCTTGTGGGAGGTGAGGTTATTGTTTTGGTTCTAACTATTTATTTGTGCCTTTATCCTGTATTTTTATCTTGTGAACCACCCTGATATCGTCAGATGAAGGGCGGTATATAAATTTAAAAAAAAATAATACTGAGAAGCAACTCCCAGTGAATTTAGCGAGATTTATATCCAAACAGGTGTGCTTAGAATTATAGCCTTAGGCTAACTTTCGACAGGAGAAAAAAAACATAATAAATAAATGTGTGTGTGCTTTCCACCAGCAGGGGGCAGCATGTGGCAAGCAGCATAACTGCAGCCAGCTCTAAAATACCTTTGTCAATGGCAGATATTTATTAGAATTCTGAAGTTAATAGCCCATCAGAAACCCATGAACCCATGATGGTAGTGCAGTATATCTTAATGCCTTCTTTGCCTCAGTCTTCTCCGATAAAGAAAACAATGCCCGACCTGAAGAATTTGGAGCAAATGATTCAGCAGAGGAAACACAGCCCAGAATAACTAAGGAGATAGTACAAGAATACTTGGCTAGTTTAGATGTATTCAAGTCTCCAGGGCCAGATGAACTGCATCCAAGAGTATTAAAAGAACTGGCAGATGTGATCTCAGAACCACTGGCAGTCATCTTTGAGAATTCCTGGAGAACAGGCGAAGTCCCGGCAGACTGGAGGAGGGCAAATGTTGTCCCTATTTTCAAAAAGGGGAAAAGAGAGGACCCAAATAATTACCGCCCAGTCAGTCTGACATCAATACCAGGGAAGATTCTGGAGCAGATCATTAAGCAAACAGTCTGTGAGCACCTAGAAAGGAATGCTGTGATCACCAATAGTCAGCATGCATTTCTGAAAAATAAGTCATGTCAGACTAACCTGATCTCGTTTTTTGACAGAATTACAAGCCTGGTAGATGAAGGGAACGCAGTGGATGTAGCCTACCTTGATTTCAGCAAGGCATTTGACAAGGTGCCCCATGATATTCTTGTAAAGAAGCTGGTAAAATGCGGTCTTGACTATGCTACCACTCAGTGGATTTGTAACTGGCTGACTGACCGAACCCAAAGGGTGCTCATCAATGGTTCCTCTTCATCCTGGAGAAGAGTGACTAGTGGGGTGCCACAGGGTTCTGTCTTGGGCCCGGTCTTATTCAACATCTTTATCAACAACTTGGATGATGGACTCAAGGGCATCCTGATCAAATTTGCAGATGACACCAAACTGGGAGGGGTGGCTAACACCCCAGAGGACAGGATCACACTTCAAAACGACCTTGACAGATTAGAGAACAGGGCCAAAACAAACAAGATGAATTTTAACAGGGAGAAATGTAAAGTATTGCACTTGGGCAAAAAAATGAGAGGCACAAATACTACTTGGGTGACACCTGGCTTGAGAGCAGTACATGTGAAAAGGATCTAGGAGTCTTGGTTGACCACAAACTTGACATGAGCCAACAGTGTGATGCGGCAGCTAAAAAGCCAATGCAATTCTGGGCTGCATCAATAGGAGTATAGCATCTAGATCAAGGGAAGTAATAGTGCCACTGTATTCTGCTCTGGTCAGACCTCACCTGGAGTACTGTGTCCAGTTCTGGGCACCACAGTTCAAGAAGGACACTGACAAACTGGAACGTGTCCAGAGGAGGGCAACCAAAATGGTCAAAGGCCTGGAAACGATGCCTTATGAGGAACGGCTAAGGGAGCTGGGCATGTTTAGCCTGGAGAAGAGGAGGTTAAGGGGTGATATGATAGCCATGTTCAAATATATAAAAGGATGTCACATAGAGGAGGGAGAAAGGTTGTTTTCTGCTGCTCCAGAGAAGCGGACACGGAGCAATGGATCCAAACTACAAGAAAGAAGATTCCACCTAAACATTAGGAAGAACTTCCTGACAGTAAGAGCTGTTCGACAGTGGAATTTGCTGCCAAGGAGTGTGGTGGAGTCTCCTTCTTTGGAGGTCTTTAAGCAGAGGCTTGACAACCATATGTCAGGAGTGCTCTGATGGTGTTTCCTGCTTGGCAGGGGGTTGGACTCGTTGGCCCTTGTGGTCTCTTCCAACTCTATGATTCTATGATTCTATGATTCTATGATTCTATGATTCTATGATTCTAGATAACCAAAGGTTCAACTAGTCCATGAAAGACATGATCAGAATATATTGTAAAAGTCAATAATGTATTTAAAAGCATGCAAGGGATTAGATGGATAAATAAATGAATAAAAGCACTAAACCATTAACAGCCATTAGCTTTGGTGGCTAGGAAGATGCAGCCATGGTGTGCATGTATCTGACTAGTAATCTGAACGGACTTGCCAAGTAATAAGGAAGTAAGTAGTAAGCTTCCGGTTTGCCACTGCTTGCTCACTTGCCAGTTTGCTCACTTACTGTCACGTGCAATCTATCCTGTTTAAGGGCTGAAAATGGGGACTATGAATGTAAACACAGAATTGTGGCAACATTGCTATACAGTGGTACCTCTGGTTATGAACTTAATTCGTTCCGGAGGTCTGTTCTTAACCTGAAACCGTTCTTAACCTGAGGTACCACTTTAGCTAATGGGGCCTCCTACTGTTGCCGTGCCACCGCCATGCGATTTCTGTTCTCATCCTGGGGCAAAGTTATTACCATAATAAAGGACAAAAGTGGTAAGGACCTAACAGAAGCAGAAGACATCAAGAAGAGGTGGCAAGAATACACAGAGGAATTATACCAGTAAGATATGGATGTCTCGTACACCCCAGGTAGTGTGGTTGCTGACCTTGAGCCAGATATCCTGGAGAGTGAAGTCAAATGGGCCTTAGAAAGCACTGCTAATAATAAGGCCAGTGGAAGTGATGATATTCCAGCTGAACTATTTAAAATTTTAAAAGATGATGCTGTTGTGGTGCTACACTCAATATGCCAGCAAGTTTGGAAAACTCAATAGTGGCCAGAGGATTGGAGAAGATCAGTCTACATCCCAATCCCAAAGAAGGGCAGTACCAAAGAATGCTCCAACTACCGCACAATTGCACTCATTTCACACACTAGCAAGGTTATGCTTAAAATTCTACAAGGCAGGCTTAAGCAGTATGTGGACCGAGAACTCCCAGAAGTGCAAGCTAGATTTTGAAGGGGCAGAGGAACCAGAGACCAAATTGCAAATATGCGCTAGATTATGGAGAAAGCTAGAGAGTTCCAGAAAGAAATCTACTTCTGCTTCACTGACTATGCAAAAGCCTTTGACTGTGTCAACCACAGCAAACTATGGCAAGTTCTTAAAGAAATGGGAGTGCCTGATCACCTCATCTGTCACCTGAGAAATCTCTATGTGGGACAAGAAGCTACAGTTAGAACTGGATATGGAACAACTGATTGGTTCAAAATTGGGAAAGGAGTACTGAAAGGACAGATCCTGAAGCTGAGGCTCCAATACTTTGGCCACCTCATGAGAAGAGAAGACTCTCTGGAAAAGACCCTGATGTTGGGAAAGATGGAGGGCACAAGGAGAAGGGGACGACAGAGGACGAGGTGGTTGGACAGTGTTCTCAAAGCTACCAGCACGAGTTTGACCAAACTGTGGGAGGCAGTGGAAGACAGGAGTGCCTGGTGTGCTCTGGTCCATGGGGTCACGAAGAGTCGGACATGACTAAACGACTAAAGAACAACAACAACAACATTACTTCCGGGTTAGCGGAGTTTGTAACCCAAAGTGTTTGTAACCTGAGGTACCACTGTAGTATGTTGGAGGCTGAGATGTTGGTTGACTGTTACACTAGTCTGTAGGGGTGCCAACTTGAATAAAATATTGGGGGGGGGAGGTAAGCCCCACCCTGCATAATTGATCACATCACAGAGCATGCACACCATTTGAATGACAATGTCCATTAACTTTTATTGGGAGGGGGTAAAGGGATGAAAGGTGGGCTATAACTGTACTAAATGAAAATAAATTGAATTAAACAATAGCAGCTGAAAGGGAGAGGGGAGAAGCAAGGTTACAAAACATAATTTCTAGCAGAGTTCATGCTGTCTTTGAAGGCTGCTAGAGAAATTCAGCATGTGGACCCTTTCCAGGTGGGGTTGCAGTGATGGAAAAAGCTGTAGCTGCTGGTTTTCCTGCCTGTATAGCCAAAAAATTGTTGGTGCCACATGAGCATTTTTCATTGATGGGTGGTACCAAAAGGTAGATAAGGAAGCAAGCAAACATCCGGTCCAGGAAGTACAGGTCGTTGTTGCAAGAAGGCAGAAGAGCTGCTTGCTGCTTAAGTGAGAGGTGAGTGAAGGGCTGTCTGGGGAGTGGATGTTTAATAGCTGCTGTGCCCTCCCCCCCTCCCTACACACAGTCTCCCCTCCTTGTCAGAGGGAGGTGGCAGAGGTGCCACTTACCCACCTAAGAAAGCAGGGAAGCAAGTGCTAGTTGCAAGGAGCGGCAATCAACTGTGATTCCTACATTGCAAGGGGTTGGGCTAGACACCCTCAGGGTCACTTCCAATTCTACAATTGTATGATGTTGGAAACGGGCCATTGGATGCAATTCTCACGGCTGCATCACTCGAGACAGCACAAGTGGAACGTCCTAGCTGCAGCACCGCCCAGGAAGACAGAGAGAAGAGGGAAACGAGAGGGTCAAGAGGAGCAAATAGGCATGGAGGCTGTGGTGGCCGCACACATAGGAAGATACCCAGACCATTACTCTGTATGGTCCACACCAGGGTGGGGAACCTGTGGCCTTCACGACGTTGCATGATCCCTGAACACTGGCCATGGTGGCTGGGGCTAATGGGAATTATAGTTCAGCAACATCGGGTGGGCCACCGGTTCTCCACCGGGAGATGCAACTGAGTGCCCTTCTGCACTTGGGGCAACTGCTCCGAGAGCTGCGGCTCGTCTCAAACTCCCTCCTCTGTCCGTTTGCCATGCGGGAGCCTTGGCCGTAGCACCGTCCGAAGGGGATCCTAACCGCTGTCGACCGGGAGGCAGCGAGTCGAGGCGGCCCTGGGCAGGCGAGCAGCGGCGAGGTTGCAAAGAGCTGCTTGCCCGCTGGCCCGAGCTCTCGCTCCCTGGGTGACCCCGTGCTTGGGATCGGGGAAGGCGCATCAAAGGCACGTTGGCCCGCGCAGAAGGTGCTACCGACTTCGCTCGGGTGTTTCCCGATCTTGCGACAGGCGCCATCGCGACACGTCAGCTGCCTCGGCAAATCCGGAGCGCTCGGCTCCTTTAAGCCGGGGCCGGCCCCTCGCAGGCGGAGCCGAGCTCGGGGACTGGTGGGCTCCAGCAGAGAGGAAGTGAGCGAACCGGCGTCCCCTTCCCGGCTCCGGAGGTGAGCGCAACCTTTGCCTAGTAAGGCCGGAGCCCTGCGCGGACCTGGCTCGCGTTCGCCGAGCCAAACACGTTTCTTGGAGGCGTGTCCCATTGATCGATTGCAATGGGTCCTCCTTGCAAGTAAAGTACGCTTAAGACGGCTGGCTGCCTGCCTTGCCTTTTCTTGCCGGCGCCGCCAGATCCTTTCAGCGATCCCCGAGATTGCACCGCGGCTTGCTGCTCTGGGCGCGGGGATCTTGTCCATGAACCTGCAGGCGCTGCCTTTTGCTGGCTGCGGGGCCGTCGGGGCGCGAGTGGCCGCGGGCACCTCCTCCTCGTTCCTCCCTTGTGCTTCTTCCCCTGCTTCTTTTCCGCCATGAACAGGGTGCAGCTGAAGCGCTCGGCGATCCTCAAGATGGCCCTCAGCGGATCCTCGGACCCGCTGCTCCAGCAGCAGCACCTGGAAGGGGAGGACGGCGGCGGCGGCAAGCAGCCTCCGTTCGTAATCCGGGCGCTGCGCATCGCCACGGTGGTCTCCCTCTACTGGTTCATCTCCATCACCATGGTGTTCCTCAACAAGTACCTGCTGGGCAGCCCTTCGCTGCGCTTCGAAGCGCCGCTCTTCGTCACCTTCTACCAGTGCCTTGTCACCGTCCTCATCTGCAAGGTCCTGAGCCTCGTGGCCTCCTGCTGCCCGGCCGGCGTCGTGGACTTCCCCTCCATCCGCATGGACCTCAAGGTGTCCCGCAGCGTCCTGCCCCTCTCCGTGGTCTTCATCGGCATGATCACCTTCAACAACCTGTGCCTCAAGTTCGTCGACGTGGCCTTCTACAACGTGGGGCGCTCCCTCACCACCGTCTTCAATGTGCTTCTCTCCTACCTGCTCCTGAAGCAGACCACTTCTCTGTACGCCCTGCTGGCCTGCGGGGTCATCATAGGTGAGTAGGGTCTAGTGCAGGGGTCTGCAACCTTTAAGACAAAAAGAGCCACTTGGACCCGTTTCCGAAGAAAAAAAAAACGGGGAGCCGCAAAACCATTGCGACATTTAAAACAAATATATCTCCGGAGCCACGATCTGCTAGCGGGCGGGAAGGTGACGTCGGGACGGTGCGTGACTAATGCACGCACTGCCCCCATGCGACGTCACAGCCAGTACAGCGCCCGCCACAGTGGGGAGTGTCGGGGCGCACAATGCGCCTCCTCCCCTCACTAGTATCCGCCCCGGCAAAGGTGTAAAAGAGCCACATGCGGCTCCGGAGCCGCGGGTTGCAGACCCCTGGTCTAGTGGTATGGCAGAGAAGCACCTTGGGGTGGTATGTTCTAGTAAGGTAGAATTTGCAAATGGAGAAGTGGGGGAAATGGAACAATTTTGGAGTGGGGGGAACTGGTTTCCTCCCCACCCCCAAAGTGGAAGAAACCCCAGGGTTTCCCCCATTTTTTCCCAAACCAGAAGGGAAAAAATGGGTTCATGTTCCTAACTTCTCCCATTCCTGCCCCGCCCCCAGAGCCTTTACTTCTCTACAAATAATTGTGTCCAGTGCCTCTTGAGCCTATGCACTCTCACTTAGAAGCCCCCTTGAATCCCACTGGGATTTAATCCAAGAAAACAGGCCTAGAATTGCAGCCTTAGGGCAAGGATAGACAGAAGAATATGGATGATTTGCAGTATGGTTTCTAACTTTCAGTTGTTTATCAATAGCAACTGAGGCCTGCCTTGGACGTTTTGCTGCCTGAAAGACAATATGAGCCCCCTCCCCCCCTTCTCGGTCAGACCACATGCAGAAGTTTAATGGACTGGTAGTTGAATCTCGTTTCAATACTGGGATAGCATTCTCCACCACTCATCTCAGCAGCAGTCTAGTGTGGGGCTGCAGAGCAGGTGGTGTGGTGTGCACAGAGCAGGTGGTGTGGTGTCCTCTATAACACACACAGAGAGAAAATTGTTTAATACCTTTAGGACTAACTTTTTTGGAGCTTTTTTTTGTTTTTGTTTAAAAATAAAGCTTTCATAAGTGACAATCTAATTTTTCAGGTTCTGTCTTAGAACCGGGGAAGGTAAGGCAGAAAAGTCTGCTGAAAGTTGACCAGAAGGAAATATTCTGTAGTTCTTAAAGGAACAGTAATGAAGATCAATTCTTCATGGTGTGCAAAGGAACCATAGCCTTTGTTAAGACTGTGAAGTTTCCGAATGAACTCCTGTTCGTCCCTGTTGCATTCCATGATCACTCATGGATCCCTTAGTGCTTTGTTCTTTATCTGATTTGTTACTGTGCCTAAAAAGGATAGGCCCTTTTGTACGATGCAAACTGCTGTTGGACAATGTGACATTAAGTACATCACAGGTGTAAGTGCCATTGGTATGATGGATGGTACCATTGGTTTCACTCACAATATTACTTGTAAGGATTAGAGGGAACACTTGATGTTTAGGTCTGTTACAAGCTGAGAGGTGCTTGCCTATTCTAAACTGGTAGGTAGTAATAGCATGTAAATTTCTAATCTCCATTAGTGATGGGGGTGATCATACAGTACTTATGATAGCACATGGAAGATACATGCTTACGTTTCACATGGGAGAAAAATCCAGTGGCTTGCACATAAACCTTTATTTTTCCACATAAAAGTTTTAAGCTCTTATATTTATACAGAAAAACTTAGCAACATATGGTCACCATCTATGGAAAGAATTGGTAAGAAGTTGACTTGAGCTGAGTGAGGGAATACTGAGCAAAGATGTTGGTGTCAAAGCTAGAAGCTTGAGCAACTTTCAGAAGCTTAATATTTCTCTACAATTACCATTTCTTGCCCCACAAGTCCATCTCCTTTTCCCACTACAAAGGTATTTATTTGTTCAAAAATATTATATGTCTTAATATAATAAAAATAAGTGGCCTACATAAAAACACAACAACACTCAATAACATTTCCTAGAAACAAAATAAAAACAAAACACAATTGCCTCTCGCAAATAAAATTGAAGAGTTTAGAAAACAGAGAATTAAAAATCAAGAGTCAGAACCCAATAAGAATCAGAATTACAGTAAGGGAGGGCAGCTGATTGAGCCAGCCCTAAAGATATTTAGCAGCAAAATGCTTACTCAAATGCAATATTGTGTTGAAATTTTGGACTCTCCATTAAAGTTTTAGAAACAAAAACACATTTCTTTGTAATCAGTGCTCTGCGGGAGTTCCCAGTTCTCCTTTTCAATGATCCCCAGAAGAATCAGGACAGTCTTGATGTGCGTCCACAAATCTCCAAAGATAAACAACACTAAGGGAGTAGAAACTGCTCTCCCCTCCTGAGTTGTCAAAGTCTCGCATCTTAAGGATTAAGTTGCTAATTCTGAGGCTCTTCTTGTGCTTTTCTTGCCTGGCCAGTATGTCACCAGTCTTCTTTGCTTCGCAGGCGGCTTCTGGCTCGGTATAGACCAGGAGGGAGCTGAAGGCACATTGTCCTGGGCTGGCATAGTTTTCGGAATCCTGGCCAGCCTCTGCGTCTCGCTCAATGCGATCTACACTAAAAAAGTGCTGCCTGCTGTGGATAGCAGCATCTGGCGCCTGACATTCTATAACAACATCAATGCCTGTATCTTGTTCCTGCCGCTCATGTTGTTCTCTGGTGAGTTCCATACACTCTACTACTTTGATAAATTGGGGAGCCTCAACTTCTGGGGCATGATGACTCTGAGCGGGGTGTTCGGCTTTGCTATCGGCTATGTGACAGGACTTCAGATCAAATTTACCAGCCCGCTCACTCACAACGTCTCCGGGACCGCGAAAGCATGTGCTCAGACCGTGCTAGCCGTTGGCTATTACGAAGAAACCAAGAGCTTCCTATGGTGGACTAGTAACATGATGGTTCTCGGGGGCTCCTTTGCTTACACCTGGGTGAAAGGACTGGAGATGAAGAAGGTGCAGGAGGAACCTATTCCCAAAGCAAACGAGAAAAATGAGACTGGTGTCTAAACTTGCCCCAGGCTGTACCTTCACTGTCTGCACTTGTAGCCTGCGTGCATAGATGCAGTGGAGCTTGGCTGACAAGAGAGCCAGGGCTTGGAGTCCACAAGGCCGGGAAATCCTGTGGCTGCAAATATGTGGGAGGTGGAAATTGGCGGGCGAACCAGATTCCTCCACAGATACAGTTTGCTGTGGTAATCGTGGTCAAGGGGGGATTTTCACAATTGGTTTTCTATCACGGAGGTGACAAGGGTTGGTGGTGGGGCTGGGGAGCTCAGATAAGGGATTTGTGGTCAGTCAAGTCGCTCCTGAAAAAATGGTTGTTATCACTACTAGCTACTTGCCTTTGTGCGCCTTGCTTTTCCCTTGGTAAAAGGAAGGTGTGTGTGTGTTCTGTTAAAGGACCAATGGAAGGAGACTTGAAAGAAATTAAGAGTAGAGGGATTCTGCCTATGTTTGTCCCAAGGGGAGTGGGCTTTCTGTGAAGGTGCATCTCTACATTGTCTTCCCACACAATGCAATCTGGTGTGCTTGCTGAAGGACTAACCTCTTGGTCATTAACCCCTTTTGCCCCCGTGGGGCAAATCTATACCAAGAAATACGAGGGCCCCCTTCCGATGGTGAGTGGAAATATCCCCAGAGACACCAAAGGGTATGCATTTGGGTTTAGTGAGGGTTGTGGAGGATTTCGAACAGCGCCATTTGTTCATCAAGTTCATTTCTAAGTGGAGTGTCATTGGGCCTCAGGGCTGACTCACGAGAAGGGGAGTTGGGCCTAAGGAGTTTTGAAAAGTGGTGGTCTGGCCTTCCCACAATTCCTTGAGAAATTCCATATCTTAACTGAGTAGCGGTCATGCTAGGCCCGACTCTTCTCCCCAGGATCACTGATAAAAGAAGGTATGTCAGTGGCCGGCCTGACCTGCATTTAATGGGCTCTGAAGAAACTAAAATGGCAGCATGCCCACTGCTCTTCAGAGAGATAGGATTTAATGATACGTATGCACTCCTTTACTGAGTGACCCTCCCATGGGCTCCAAGAGCCCACGTCTCATTGGAATGTTTCACACATTTGCCTTGTTGCCTTTTTCTCATGTCTGTGCCCCCCCCCCCAATCTTCTATGATTTTGTATTGGGAAACGAATCTTCCACTGTGGAACTTTGATTGTTACATTTATTTAATAAAAGTATGGTTCACCATTATTACTTTTTTTAGTGGCTTGACTGCTTCCTGGACAATGGTAAGGTGAATGGGATAAAAAGTGAAAGGAGGCCACGGATGGCTCCAAGCAGAGGATTTTGTGTAAACTAAACCCTAGGCTTTTTTCTTTTTAAAGCCTTAACTCACTTCTAGCCTACTGGTGCCAGCATATGTTATCTCAAGCATCGTGAAAGTGACCCCTTGCTGCTGGCACCAGTTTCTCCTGTGTAAATATCTTGCCAAAAATCTGCAGTGCAGGAGAGACTGTTTGCTCTTCCTGTTCAGCTCCTGTTTGAACCAGCACTGCCTCTCCTATACTGAACACACATCCTTTAAACATGCCCATATTTCATTGGATGCCAGAGAATCGACGCAAAGAGCTTCTCTCAGTGCCCAAGTGTGGTGGTGGCTGAATTAATTGGAGGAGGGGAAATGGCTGCTCTTGGTTTTGGTGGGTGGTTGGCCGGCCCTGTCTTTTTTCCTGCTCTTTTGAATGTAGCAGTCATTTTGTGCCATGTCATGCCCCCCCCAAAAAAAATTCCAAATGTTGGTGATCCCCGTTTAACATGTGTACCTACTAGGGCACTGAGTCCTGCCAGTGGAAGCCATGCACGAGAACTTCTGAGCCGTCTGTTGATAGACCAGTGCCACACCTGAGTCAGAGCAAGGCCAGTGACACTTCTGGAAGAGTCACATGAGTCCAACTCCCTAAAATCATAGCTCAGAAAAGCTCACGACATTTTGAACTTCTCATCAAATGACAGTAGGGATTCTTGAAGTGGACATCCAGGGAAGTGAGATGTTGGAAGATGTTGGGATGTTGGTTACCTACAGGCATCTGGGAGAACAGGATGCTGCACCAGATGCGCCATTTGGCCTGATCCAACAGGCTCTTCTTATGTTCCTAAATCTTTCTTGTAAGTCTTAGAAACAATGTTCAAGAGACCTGTCATAAATTGGCAAACACTGTTCACAAGTGGGCCAGCATAACTTGAGAGAGCATTTTTCCACAGAAGGAATTAATGCAGATCAAATCTTTACACAGGCTGTGCCTTTATACTATCCCACCCCACTTTCAAGCCCACCATTAAATAAGCATATAGCCATTATTTATTAGTTATTTACTTAAATCAACTTGCTTACATTTTCATATTGCCAAAATGTGTAGGGAGAATTTACAATATCATGACAGAAATTCATACAAGGAAAAAGCATCTTTAATATTTTTAACAGTAACACACCAAAATCACCTCAAAATAAAAAAAGTTCTACATGCTGCAGATTCAGCTCTTCCCTACAGTATTTTGTATTTGTTCTACTTTCTAAAAAAGTGTAGATCCTGCAGTGGCAAACCAGCATACCAGAGGCAAAAGCTGATGAAGTAATGAATGCAAATTTTATCTTGGAACAGTAGACACACACCTCTAGCCTCTATCCAGGCAAGCAAAAGGCATGTGCAGACTTTAAGGAAACATCCCAGATGGGTAAAAACACGCAGGGTGTGATTTGGGGAGCATTTTGAGTGCCAAGAGGGGCACTTTCATTCCCCATGCCTAAGGCTCCCTGGCTTAGGAGGGACCCACTGAGTAACCTCTGTAGCAGAACAGATGTGCCCCTCTGCTGCTCTGACTTATTGGATGTTCCCTTTGCACAGGTTTGAATCCAGCACGTATAATGCATGGGGAGGGGGTCTCATTAGTATTTTTAACCCGAAGGTTGGGATTGTCACTGTCTTGGACTTCTTGCAGGCAATGGAAATGTGCCCATATGTTACTGGCAAAGCTCAAGTCGAAGCTGTTAAAAGAGGATCATTGCACGAAGAGGACACGCTATTGCTCTTGGCCTTGCCAGAAGACAGCATTTATAGGAGGCCTCAGCTGAGCAAACACTCATTTATGGTGAATAATAAAGTTTCTACTGTATGTAAACCCACAGAGTCACTGAAAGCATGAAGAAATGTGGAGCCAAGAAAGGAAGGAAGCAAGAAAGGTAGTTTTAAATGCAAGCAGTGTTGATCCAAGACTTAATCCTGATCAAACCCACCATGTGGCAGCAGATGAGGTGGCCGCCTTCCAGCCGTTCTCTGGAATTCCCTCACAGCTCCCCATTAATCATTCCCATCCTCCTGGGTCTGGTCATGGCAATGCTCGCTTGTGTTGCTTGCCTGGGCTGCCTTCTCCAAATATGATGGTGTCGTTGAACAAGGCCCTTGACCAAGTGAGCAGGCAGAGGGGCACCAGCCCAGCTCACATACTCTGGCAGGCACCGTGCATGTTACGTTTGCTGTTCTGCGCATGGGATGGGTGCAGGTGCCACTGCTGCTGTGTTGCACCATTTGTCAGAGAGGGAACTAGGAGCCGCCCAGCAGACTGATGAGCAAGTGGCAGCAAGGTATTAAACGACAGAGCCCTGTGTCCCGTAAGCTAGTCTGTGTGTCAGTGTTCAAGTGAGGCTTAGTTACTGGTGGGCTTCTGTGAATGGAGAGTGGGTGACAGCCTGTCCTTTGCCTCTGGCAGCAAAATTGCTTTTGGCTGGCTCTGGGTGCAGCTGTGTATATCACCTGGGTGTATCTCATGTATGATGTTGTGTTCCTTGACATCAGGAATAAGGCTGGCAATTTTTGGAGTGGAGGCTGGAAGCGATGCTGCACCTTTAAGGAGGATGGGACAATCTGGCGAGTGATTACCTCACTACAACTTGTTGTGCAGCAGTTAAAGGTCAACCCTACATTAGGAAGGGAATCCCTTTAGTTCCCATAGCTCAGACACTGCCTTGAATATAACTCCTTTGCAATGACTCCTTGTTTTGCTGGAAGGAGAAGGTGCTACTCCCTGTTTTAAATGAGCCCATATCACCATAAGAACAGATTACAGGTTACCAAACCAAAGGCTTAGGTAACCTATAACTCTGCTGGCAAATCACTGAAAGCCACTGGGTCCAGCCTCCAATCCTGAGGCAGGATCTTCCTTGGATTAGTTCCTGCATGGACTAGCACACATAACTCACACATGTGCCAAATCATCCAGGTGTTCACTAAACTAGTTTTCCTAACTTTTCAGACTGTCACTGCTTTTACTATTTTTAAAAGCAGCTGGATGGACAGATATCAATAGACAATAATGTTTCTCTCCATGCTGTGAAAAACTTCACCAGCTGATTCTGCACACAGAGTTCCTGTTGAAGTCACAAGAGCAAGCCAGGCAATTTGTTTTTGCTTTTTTTTTCTCTGGTCAGTCAGCAACCCAACATAAAGTAAATGGCTCCAGTTGCCTTAATTAAGCACATTAAGCTACTGGAAAAGACGAAAACCAAACTCTTTTGAAAGACACTACAAAGTTTAAAGGCTTAAAATTGCAACCTAACAGTGTCAGCCTACACATGTATATTCAAGAAATAAGATGTGTTGATTTAAACGAGACTTATTCCCAGTGAAGTAGATATAGGATGGCAATCACAACAAACACACGTCAGACCAAAAGGAGGGTATTTTTATATTCACCATTAATATTTAGTTTGAAGTAAATTTCACTGGGATCAACTCCCAAAAAAGTGTATACAACAGGAAGACAGCCTTACTGTTAATGTGAAAAACGCCCTTAATATTCCACTCTAATTATAAGCAAGTTTACCTGGAAGTAAAAAAGAAATATGTTTCATTAACTTTCAAAGAAGTATGCATAGATCTCAGATATAACTATTTTCTTATGCCTTTCCTAGATACTGTTCTCTCCCCCCCCCCCCAGCTCTGCACCCTTCCCTGTCCACATAAGGTACTGCACTGATCACAGGAGTGCTACAGGATGTTGTGGTGACCTTATAACCAGCGTTTAAAGATTGCATAAATGCACGGACAGACCTGCTGCAGGCAACGAGCCAATGCTAATAGCTGGGAACATAACCTCCATGTGTCAACAGTGTGCCTTTGAAGACCAGATGCCGGAGACAAACAGCAGTTAGACTGCTTTGCTTGTGTGCCTTTCCCCAGTTTTAGACTGTACACATGCAGACAGCGTTAGGCGCGCCCGCTTTAAGTACACCTCAGAGCAGAAAGGAACTGAAGGGAGAAATGAATCAGCGAGGCACTTTTGTGGGTTGCCTCATTTGCGAAAAACACGCTGGTCTGTTGTTGAATCATATAACTTTAGAGTTGGAAGGTACCATAGGGGTCATCTAGTCCGACCCCCTGCAATGGCTAACACGGGGCTCGAACCCACGACCCTGAGATTAAGCGTCTCATGCTCTACCGACTATCCCGTAGGATGGATATTAATTCAGTTTCCGGGGCACGTTTTCACACACAAAACCGGCCCGATTTTCAACCCATAGCTGTCAACCTTCCCTTTTTTGCGGGAAATTCCCTTATTCTAGAGCCGTTTCCCGCTGCTATCCCGGATTGTTAGATATCCCGTAGCCTGTCCCCGGGTCAGGTGAGGCTGCTGATCCCTTATTTTCAAATCTGAAAGTTGACATCTATGTTTCAACCAGCGCTTCAGCTCTAAAGGCACGTAGGGTTCGGGATCTTGGATCTCGGAGGGGCTGCCGCGCCTGCCTGCCGCGCCTGCCCTTTGGTAAGGTTCTCCCTTGTGCGGCGCGGCCTCCGCCCCCGGCAGCTACACGCCGCAGAAACGTGCCGCGCCGCATCCCAGGAACGTGTGGGGGGGCCTGGCCGTGTTATGTAGCACGGGCGGCCAATGGGCTTCGCGGGGCGGAGCTTCTGCGCGCGAGCTCCGGGCGGGAGGGGCCACGCCAAGTGTGGCGGTTGGGAACCGGGCGGGGTACAGCGCGCCTGACAGACACGGGCGGCGGTTGTGCTTCTTCTGGCGGCTGCGTTGCTTGACGGAATGGCGACCGCTTTCCCAATGGGCCCGGGCTCTCGGACCTCGGGCGGCCGCGACGCCCGCACCACCGGCGGCTGCTCCGTGCACTGGTTCCGCCGCGGCTTGCGGCTCCACGACAACCCCGCGCTGCAGGCGGCCATCCGGGAGGGCGGCCCCGTGCGCTGCATCTACATCTTGGACCCCTGGTTCGCGGCCTCCTCGGCTGTGGGCATCAACCGCTGGCGGTGAGCGAGCGAGGGGAGGGGAAGGCATCGCGAGCTGGCGCGCTTGGCGGGGAGTTGGGGGTGGAGAATGGGCGCGAGCTGGGGCGCGAGGACGTAGGAGGGGAGGGGGAGGCTGCCTCTCAGCCCCGTGCCCCGACGCGGAGGGTGTTGGCAGACGTGCCCAGGGGGGTGTAAAGTTTTGAGAAACAGGAGAGCGGGCTCAAGAAAAGAAAAGGTGAAGCTCCGCCCGTCAGTGGCCTAAAATACAGTGGTACCTCAGGTTAAGTCCTTACTTCGTTCCGGAGGTCCGTACCTAACCTGAAACTGTTCTTAACCTGAAGCACCACTTTAGCTAATAGGGCCTCCCGCTGCCGCTGCGCCGCCGGAGCACGATTTCTGTTCTCATCCTGAAGCGAAGTTCTTAACCTGAAGCACTATTTCTGGGTTAGCGGAGTATTTAACCTGAAGCGTATGTAACCTGAGGTACCATTGTAAAACGCCCCAGACTTAGCAGGACTACAAGGCCCCCCTGCAGGTTAACTCGGTCGCCTTGCTGACGTGGAGCCCGTGGGAGTAATTGATAACTTAAGCGGCGCGAGAACTGCGCGGCAGGGCGCAGAGAATCGATAGGGGGCGCCGTGTGGGGGGGGGGTTAAGCCCAGTGGGGACGAGGCTTGAGCTTGGGACTTCCAGACGCAGCCCTCCTCGGCTGCGGGTTCGGCTCCGGCCTGCTGGTGTTAGGAGCCGCGTAGGAGGCTCGCAGCGATGCCCGGGCGAAGCCTTGCGCCCGGTTAAATAACAGGCGCACGGAGTGTGTCGCTGCAGGCGGGCGCGGGAAAGACGTCAGAAAAACCGGAGGAAGGGAAGAAGCAGCAGAAAATGAGGGGAAACCAGCTTATGAAACAAAAGGAGTGTCAGCGCTGCATCTGTTTTCATGCGTCTGTTACGTGTGTGTGTTGGGGGGGGGGGGGAGACGTGGGTGGCTCAGTGGTTTAGATTGGGCCTGCCAGTAGGAAGGTCGGCGGTTCGAATCCCCGCGACAGGATGAGCTCCCGTTGCTCTGTCCCTGCTCCTGCCAGCCTAGCAATTCGAAAGCACGCCAGTGCGAGTAGATGTTGCAACAGAAGCGGGTTAGTCATCCTGGCCACATGACCCGGAGAGCTGTCTGTTGACAAACTTCGGCTCCCTCAGCCTGAAAGCAAGACGAGTGCTGCAACCCCCTAGTTGCCTTTGAACTTAACCATGGGGGCGGGGAGTGTTGTTGTAAAGATGACATCACAAGTACAGTATCCAATAGGATTTTCTGGTGTTTATACTTCGGATTTCTTGCATCATGTTCTTTTCTGGATTTCAACAAGTAAATTGGGGCATCCAAAGATTCTGTTCTTTTGCCATAGAGTACAGTGGTACCTCGGGTTACATACACTTCAGGTTACAGACTCCGCTAACCCAGAAATAGTACCTCGGGTTAAGAACTTTGCTTCAGGATGAGGACAGAGATTTACGCTGGCAGCGCAGCGGCAGTGGGAGGTCCCATTAGCTAAACTGGTGCTTCAGGTTAAGAACAGTTCAGGTTAAGAACGGACCTCCAGAACGAATTTAGTACTTAAACAGAATACAATGGTACCTCGGGTTATTTCCAAAGGTAATATGCCTTGTGTCTGTTAAGGAAGGCCACGTATAGCCTCACTGCCCAAAGACTGTAGTCAAGTTAATGGAGCATGCTTGAAAATAAGCTCACAAAAGTTACTTGCAGGTTTAAAAAAATTACTAGCCATTTTGTGGGATTGGCAGCAGGGAAAGATGGAGCTGCATTGCTGTGTTGGGCCTGGGGAAGAGGGCTTTCCTTGTCCAGCAGCATGCTTTGTTTTTGTCCAGGACATGGATGAAGGACAAAGCGCTCTTGTCCTCTGCCAGCCCACTCACCTGCATGGAATTCAAAGCACTCATCTGCATGGAATTTCTAGTTGCCTGTAGCTACTAGGCTAGTGCCTAAATATAAGGCTGTTACTGAATGAATACTATTTCACTGATGCTGCCTAAAGAGAAGCCCGCCCCATCCCGCCCCCCACAATTATGGAAACCAACTAAGGGAAGCACCTTACTTGCCCCTTCGATTGCCACTACCCTAAGGACAAGGATGTCTCTCCTCCCCACAACTGAATCATATCTGGCATCCTTTCTGACTGCCTAAATACATCAAAAGACATTTGGAGCAATATTTAAGCAACCATGGAGGCTATTAATCTTTTTATAACATATGACAGCAACAAAATAAGTTGAAACTAGGGGTGGGATTTGCCTAATGATACCCTTTAACAGAAACCCTGTCTTGTGCAAGGACTTCCCCTTGAGCTCCAGGGCACCCCCCCTTCTCCCCCCCCCCAGCATCCTCCAAAATTGGATCAGAGGGTAAAGAGAACACCCAGAACAGCACATGGGGGAAAGGGGAGGTTGTTCCATTTGGCAGGCTGAAATGCTTGCAGGGGTGGGAAGTTTGTAATAGTACAACAATGAATCCCACCCTTGATACTTTTATTTTGCTTGTGGTTTTAAGGGAAAGCAAATATCATCTAAAAATGCCTTTTCACTGTACTAGCTGCTATGTTGCGTGGCTTTGTTTAAATTTCTTTTAATCTTGAAAACAGGGAGCTTGTTAGGGTCGCAATACACAAAATACTTCTCTGGAATAAATGGAACATAAACTAATCCTCTCCATACGTGCTGTAAGTTCAGTAGGCCATACCCATGTAAAATAATTTAGGCTGTTTGTAATTTGAGAGTAGTTTTGTGAGTAATTCCTATGTTACGTTTGTGTCCCCCTCTGTACTTCTAACAGAATAATACACTTTGAAAACCACCACTTAGCTGTGAATATGTTCACCCTCTAAAAAAATATGGAAAAAATGAGATTGATGGAGCAGCTGTAAAAGGGAGTAAATCTGTTGTTGGCAGCTGGCATAGCTGCTGGAATGATGCTGTCATTTTAGGATAGGCCACACCTTGTCTAATAAGACATTCTTGTTCTACTAGTTTGGAAATACCTGCAGTGTATACTTAATGTAGTTTCAACATACAGAATCCTAGGTGAAGAAGCTGGGAAAGCCCTGCTATGGCATGCTTAGTTTGGCTCAGGATTATTCTATGTTTAAGTCAGAGAAATACCTTGTGAGACTTGAGATGTAATTTGGCTACTTTAAGAGAGTTCACTTGGGGCAGAAGAATATCACTTGCAACAGATACATAGCTAATATTTTGGACATACTCTTTTACATGTATATCATTTATATAGAAAGAGGCTTACCTGTCTTCCAGAGTTTTTTACATAGTTTTTGAAGGTAAAAATTACACCCTGGCACAGTTTTTCCTCCAGATTTATTTTTTAACTAACAGCGAAAGGAACCCGAAGCCTTTGGAGTGCAGCGCGAGTTCCCGCTGCGCTCCACAGGCTTCAGGTGGCTATCCCTGAAGCCTTTGGAGCACAGCGGGAACTCGCGGTGCGCTCCAAAGGCTTCGGGTTCCTTTCACTGAAGCCAGGAGAGCAAGACTCCCCTGGCTTCAGCAGAGAGGGAGAGCTGCGCAGCGCCCCTTCAGCGAAGCAGGAGGAGAAATGGAAGGGGCTTCGTTTCTCCTGCCACTTCGCTGAAAGGCTGCTGAGCAGAGAGGGGGAGAATTTTTTTTTCTTGTTCTCCCCCTCTAAAACAAGGTGCGTCCTATGGTCGGGTGCGTCCTATGGAGCGAAAAATATGGTGTATACTGTGCTGCAAAATAAATTTTAAAACTCTCTAAGAAGATTAAATAATATAAAATAGTCATAGGAAAATACCCATAAAATCAAACTTAAAAACAAGTATACATAATAAAATATAGCTAAAATCAAGTCACAACAAATGTATATAATAAAAATACATGTTTTCATTTGATTGCGTGAGCAGAACTTTAGCAGCCATTAAGAAAGGTGCAATGAATGCGCCTTCCTAATATTAAAAGTTCCAGAGAGCAGGTTCTTCACACTAAAGGATAGATTCCTCAAAAGGCAAAATGAGTATTATGTGGTACGTATAAAAGCACTAGTTCCATAGATTAAAATGGTCAAGCGATTGGGCAAGGTGATCCTTCAAGTAAACTGATCCCAAGTTTTTGACGACTTTATAACCTAACACCTTGAATTTGGCCCAGTAACAAATGGGAAGCTACTGCAGGTCTCACTCCTGTTAGCAATTTGGTTCAGCATTCTGTGCTAACTGCAGGTTTTGGACCAACCAGAGGGGAAGCCAGTGCCTGGACTATTGTAGTCAAACTGTCTTTGTCCAGGAAGGACCGTGGCTTATGTATGAGTCGAAGCTGATAAAAGGTGCTCCTAGTTACTGGGGCCACCTCCAATGACAAAGCTGGATTCATAAGCCATCCCAAAATGCATACTTGCTCCTTCAGGTGGATGTAAACTGAACAATTTCTTGGATGCAGGAACCATTCACTCACCGTGTCTTAGTCTTGTCAGGATTCAAGCTCAGTTAATATCCTTCATTCCTCTCACCACTCTATCCAGGCATTGTGTTATCCAGAGCCCTCATGGCCTCTTCTGATTCACATGTTACAACGAAATAGTGTGTAATCAGCATACTAATGCCCCAAATTTCCTGGTGTCTGCTCCCAACATTGGGGATAAAATAATGCCCTGCAGCACCCCCATAGCATAACTGCCAGAGGGTCAGAAAGCACTCTCCCAATGCTATTCACTGAATTGTGCCACATAGGAAAGACTGGAGCCACTGCAACACAGTTCCCGCAATTCCTATCCCGTTAAGCCAGGCCAAGGGGATACCATGGTTGACGATAAGCAGGAGCAAGGTTGTAATCCCCTTGTCCCGCTGTCAACACTGGCCATCCTTCAATGCAACCAAGGGCAGCTTTGTCCCATGGCCAGGTCTGAGCCCAGATTGGAATGGGTGTAGATTTCATCCAAGAATGCCTGCAGTTGCCTTTCCATAACCATCTCTACTTTCCAGAATGGGGAATATTTGTAGTTGATCCAAAAATCAGCTTCAAGGAGTGGCCATACCACCACATTTTTCAAGGTGTATGCAACAACCGGTTACACAGTGAATTCTTACTCGTGGTTCAGATGCAGTCATGCTAGCTTGGGACAGGGAACAAGAAGACGTATGGTCTGGTGTAGCCCTGCAAGCAGCTTGTCAACACCATTATTAATATTTTTTATTTATTGAATGTGTACACTGCCTTTCATCCAAAGATCACAGAGCAGTTCACAAAAAAATACAAAATGAGAACATAAAATACACAATAAAACAAAATCAAACCAATAACCCCCCTACAAACACGATGCCCTGTTAGGAGACACTCTGTCCTAACTAGCACTGTCATTTTTAAAGGCAGCCCCACAAAATCTAGCTCTTGCCAAGATAATCTGCAGTTTATTTTTATCGTCAAAGTGCACACCCAGTTGATCACAACAAGGTCCTTAAGACTGGTTTTGGTTTGGGGACATTTTACTACTCTAATAGCCATTGGAATATAGGTTGGTAGAAAATAATATTTTGGTTAAGATTTTTATAGGCCTGGGTTAGTGTTAATGGCTTTATCAATGCTTCAAGCAGCAGTCATGTGGATCTGACTGACCTTGCTTCTGCAAGTCTGTGAGGCAGAAAATCAATTACCATAATATCCAGTTAAAACACCTTCCCAAGATCTTGCTTTTGGCATAATGTTATATATTCTAGCATTTCCAAGACCAGTTACCACCTGGGCTGCTGCCTTCTACTTTATTTAAATGTTTTACAATTTTATTTTAAGCTAAGAGGTGCATCTTTCAACCTTTTAATTGCATGTGTTTACCTAGGATTAAAGTCTGCTGAATTTCTTCTATGTCTTTTAGCCCTATGTCCATGTACACACCATTGTTTTCTTCTATGATCTGATTGTTTTACGGAGAAAAGCCTAAATTAATAGCGGTAGTTTGACTTTTCCACTCAAATGCAACAAGGAAGATATGTGATGTGATTCTGAAATTCAATGCTTGTGTATAGAGTTAGAACATGCATTCTAGCAACGAGTCTTGCATTTCTACATTTTGTAATGTAAAATGTCAAAAATTAAACTGTTTATATTCTCTGTTTTGTTTTTAAGTGGAAAAATTCACCTCTACAGTGATAGATGTATGCAAAAGTGGCAGTGTGTGTGTGTGTGTGTGTGTGTGTACACACTTCATTCCTGATTTGGGTATGCAAGGATTGATAGCAAATTGTCACATGGATCATTTCTTAGATGTAGCAATGGGAAAGAAGAATTTATTTGGAAGACAAATCGACTAAGAAAATTAAATGAATGGAAATGAAAAGTATGATTTGTGCACATATTTGTGCAGAATCTAGTGTTATGTGAGAGGATTTACTCTAGTGCAATTAAATGTCTCTTTTCTCTTCACACACCTCCAAACATTCCTCCCACAATCCTTATATATCCTTCAGAGGGTGTCCAAAGGTAGCTTTGCCTAGCTTGATTCCAACCTAGTATCCTGGCTCAAAGGCAAAAATGTAGAGGAAGAGTTCATCAAGGATGATGAAAGAGCTCATGCAATTGAATTACCGTATTCTCTAGCATAAACATAAATTTCTGATTCCACAACCTGGTATTTCTGATTGGTATTTCTGCCATATGGTTTTTTTCTTCTTAAGGAGAAGAAAATATAAAATGTAAGTGTTGGCAAAGGACTGCCAAACACTGATAGATAAGGAGCTGAATTCTTTGCTTTGGAGTTTGAGGACCCTTAACTACTTGACCCAACAGCTGCTGATGCCATCTTATTTCTTCTTCTCCATAGGTTTTTACTCCAGTCCCTGGAAGATTTGGATAACAGTTTACGAAAACTCAACTCTCGCTTGTTTGTAGTAAGAGGGCAGCCTACTGATGTTTTCCCAAGACTCTTTAAGGTAAGAAAATTTCTCTGTGTGAAAAGCTTTTAAAGCAGGCTTCCTCAAACTCGGCCCTCCAGATGTTTTTGGCCTACAACTCCCATGATCCCTAGCTAGCAGGACCAGTGGTCAGGGATGATGGGAATTGTAGTCTCAAAACATCTGGAGGGCCAAGTTTGAGGAAGCCTATTTTAAAGGAAAGTGAATTTTCCTGTAAATTAGGTTTGTATTAAATGGAGCACTAAGGTGAGTGTTATGTTGACACATGGATTTCTCCTTGTGTGACAGAATGTTCTCCTACACACTCCCTAAATCTGTTCTGGGGGTACCACCAACTCTCCAGAGCAAAGCTGGGGGTGGGGGGGAGGAGGGAATCTGCTTGCACTACTCTTAATCCTGGAGCTACCTCAAAAAGTTGAATACCACCCTAAAATCCCATGCCTCATTCAGCTGCTTCTGACTAACATTGATATTTACATTGATTGTAGCCAGGCAAAAACATTTAAGGAGGGTTGAAATCAGGGCTTATGAGGGGTGTGCCCTAGGGAGAGCCTTGGGGGCCAGATAGAAGGGCCTGGAGGGCCACTTTGGCCTCTGGATGATGTATAAATGTTTGAAAGTGATGGGAGAGCATGCAGCTGCTGTGCCTTCCATTCCTCCACTGATCACATCTCTGGTGCCTATTTTAGCAAGCAGGGTTCTAGTTTTGCCACATAAGAAACTAGACAGGGTGGGGGAACAGGGCACAACATCTGCATCTTTTGCTTTCTCAGTACTTTTCAAATTGTCAGTTGGAAATCTGCATCAAAACTACAACTATTTCTACCCTGATTGTGGCTGCTTAACCTAATTCATTGATATCTTAACACCTTATCCCTAGGGGCTTATTCAAGGAACTGAAGTAACTTTTTTGAGGGCTTATGCCATTTCTGTGGTTGTAAATTTTATGTGGAGCAGAAAGTATCCATCTTTTGTCTACTGGTCATGCTGAAATGCAGTGAAATTCTGTTCTTAAGTTGTATATGTATATAGCGGCATAGCATGATGAATGGGAAAGATCATGCAGAATTTTGCATGCAGAATAGAGAAACCTTGCTTTTTTCAAGTTAAGGATTTACATGTTAACTTTTATCTCAAATGGTTGTGTAAAGCAAATACGTGTTGGACTCAATTCCAAATAGTCTGTGCGCCTGTTTGCCAAAGTTTCCACCTTATGCTTTTATCTTGATTGTACCTAGATCTTGATTTGTGTGAAGCAGAGTTTTCTGCATCATACACACTTCCCTTTGTCATATTTTTAGGATGCTTGCTGTGGCGACCAATTACATCTAACACATTTTGTCAGAGAAAAAAGGCCATGTTTTTGAAGAGCGAGATGCTGCAAAAAGCTGTAGCTAAGGTTCTAAAGATGCTTGAATTCTTTATATTGTCCTTTCCAGTGCATTGACCATTCAGCTTACGATTTATTCATGATCTATCTAGTAACATTCAACTTTCATGTTTAAAAAACTGGTCTTATGAATAGACTGAAGGGGCTGCACCACACTCTGGGTAGAAATTCTTGTACTTCTGTCTGTTCTGGGATGTTTGCTGGGTGCTTCTTCCAATAATTTTCTAGGTTGTCTGTATATTTGCAGGGCCGTGGGTCATATCCAGTGCTGCAGCTCCTTTTGCAGAACAGCTTCCTCTTCCTTTTCCTCCCCACTCCAGCTCATACTTGCCCTCAAAAGGAGGGAAGAAAGGGAACAGAAGTCTTGTTACACCAGCTGAACTACACATGCAGAGCATTAGATGCAACACAAGCTTCTCAAGAACTTAATCTGTCCAGTTGGGGGCCTACAATATCAGAATGGGGGCTCTTGTAGCCTCTTGATCCTTCTTTTATCTCTAAATTGTAGTGTGGCCACTGTAATTAGATGTAGAACTTTACATATCTTGTAGGCAATTTTTTTTCAAAATGATGGTGACTTTAATTTGGCTGACTAGAATGGGGGTTGCCAACCCAGCACATGCAAACACTTTCATTGGTGCCCCTGGCAGGTTCCTCAGGCTCTGAGTTTTCATTTTAAAAATAAGTGAGTCTCTGGCTCTCCTAGAAAGAAAGGCATGGGGCATGTGAAATGAAAGTGAGTGTGATGTGACTACCTTGCATATTTTTCCTGGTACTGAGGGGTACTACCTGTTGTTGTTAGACAGCAACACCATCAGCGTGTATCTGTGTGTGTATATATAATCAGTATTGTGTGATTTCCACAATCAGTACATAGCTGACTTCCTATGGTAAGCATAAGGTTGTCAGGGATGGTTATCTCTCAAATTTTGTGTTATGCCACACTTTCCATGGAAGCCATTTTGTGACTGGCACCCCAGCACTCTCCCAAAATTTGGTATATGAAAATGTATATTAAAATGTGAGGTCCTCAATTTCTTGTTAGATTCTGTGAAGCTGTCATTATATCCTCTGACTAGTTTTTCTTGGCCTGAAACCTGTTCTCCTTTTCACTGGTGGAATCTTCTGCGTGCGAAGCATAGGCTTTCCCTTGTGGTGTTTTCTATGGTTGATGCAAGGTCCTATATTGTGTTACTAGATTGGTCATAGATGGCGTTCAATATGCAAGTACAGTTGTACCTTGGTTATCGAACGGAATCCGTTCCAGAAGTCCATTCAACTTCCGAAAACATTCGACAACCAAGGCGCGGCTTCCAATTGGCTGCAGGAGCTTCCTGCACTCAAGCTGACGCCGTAGAAGCCGCGTCGGACGTTCAGGTTCCAAAGAACACTCAGTTCCGGGTTTGCGGCATTCGGGAGCCAAAACGTTGGAGTCTCAAGGTGTTTGAAGCCAAGGTACGACTGTACTGTGGTTTCACAATTTGATACATAATACATATTATTAACATGAACATGCAACTGGGAGCTGCAACCATGTTGCAGTGTTTCATTATCCCATAAAGGGAGTGTTCTGGTTCAGGTGTCTAGTTACCCTAGAAAAGGTGGCTTATAGTGCTGTTTGAGATACACAGAGGCAGACTGGAATTATTTAAATAATGATTTGAACTGGCAAGAAAAAAGGTCAATTTAATCAAGTTTCTCGTTACTATGATTGTAATTAAACAATGTTGTGTGTCCTGATCTTTGTACATACGTATACAGAGAGGCACACAAACACACACTCACACACCAAAAAGTCAGCAGCAAACCAAAGAGTTCCTATTTTTGATATTCAGTTGAGGATAGCAAGGGAAGTGACCTGAAAGTAGACACTAAGAAACTACTCTTAAAAAGCAAAGTTTTTTAATGCATTGTGAGAACAGCTGTTGTTAGTGGATTATCTTTTGTTTGTATGCGTTAATGCTTATTGTTTAAAATGCGATCCTTTCCCTAAATTTGTCTTTGGATTTCAGCCTACCTTTAAAATGTTAGTTCTCAGACTTCTATGGTGAGCTAAGATTGGCTTTTCATATTTGTAGTGGGGTAATATTGTGTGGTTTCTTGCAGGAATGGGGAGTGACACGTCTTACCTTTGAATATGACTCTGAGCCCTTTGGAAAAGAGAGAGATGCAGCTATAGTGAAGCTGGCTAAAGAAGCTGGAGTATCAGTGATAATGGAGAACTCGCATACCCTTTACGATCTGGACAGGTAAGATATAGATCTGCTTAAGGAGATGCTAAGGTATTATGATATCTGAGGAAAAATAAAACACATCTGGTGATTAGGTGGGAGAGAATATTTAGGATTTCTTAAGTGATCAGAGTTTCAGTTCATCCTGTTGTGGTACTATTATAGGATTAAAAGGTCTCAAGTTCCATACTGAATTCCACCTTTTGGTGTGGGAATTGAGAAAAGAAGCAGCTGATCCAGAGTTTATAAATTATGAGCTAATTATATTGCTACTACTGCAAAGTGCTATGGAATAAGATCATTATTGCTGCAGGTTTGCAATCTACTGAAGACAAAAACGTTAGGGAACAGATTCAGCTAACAAATCCCACTAGCAGAAGCGAGGGCTTCTGCTAGCACAACAGGGCTTTTCTCCCCTTGCCTCCCCACAATTGGGTTTCCAGAAGAACCCATAGAACAGTACATGGAGGGGATTGTTCCACGTTGCAAGCTGAAATGCTTTCAGTGATGGAATGATTGCCATAGCACAACTTTGAATTCTTCCCTAGGGAAGAGGCTGAAGGTATACTTTGAATGGTGAGACTAGGAGAAGATGCATGGGATATGTATGCATTCTGTCACTGGGACAAAGAGACTGTGAAACTGGTTGTATGAGACTGTTCAGTCCTTCATTCACTATTGCTCTGGGTTTGTTCTTAAATGAAACATGATTCATTCTCTCACGCACCTGTATTCTCGTGGCAAGGCAGCAGCACTTAACATAAATATTGTGGTCACAGTTGTACAGGTTTGTATATAGGTGTTACGCTGCATTGTATTGTTTAAGTGTGCAAATATGTTAAGTTAGTAATTTCAAATTTAAATTAAAACGGGAGTATCTTTGGTGTGGCACATCCTGTCTTATTATGATGGTAACTTAGAACCTGACATGCCCTTTACCCAGTCAGGTTCAGTTTTGTCAATGTCTTTCAGAGTCTGTACAGCTTTGTAATTCTTGAGAGGGGAAGCTATTCATTCTGCAGATGGAATTTCATGCAGTGCTTGCCCATTAATCATTATGCACAATCTACATGTGGAATTCCATGTCCTGTTCTTCCAACTGTTCTATCCGTGCAAACATTGCAGCTTACCAAATGAGACCCCACCCCCTTTCTCTCATGTGCTGTTGTGGAGGTTGTTCTAGCTCCCCGATTGGGGATAGGGAGAGGAGTGGGGAAAGCCCTGTTGCATGAGTGGAAGTCCATGTACAAGACCTCTGATAGGGCTGGTTTTATTTAAAGGTTTTGTCCATGTTTCAGAAAATGCTTTTTCCTGGCCCTGCCTGTACACTGCTACCATTTCTGAGCATTTTAATTTTTAGAATTCTTTAGAAACTTTATATTCTTCTCCTTTGTGTCATGCATGTACTTATCTACTTGCTGTATTTTTAAGTGCAAAATAGCAGCAGAGCTCTACCATACTGGTGCCTTGACATTAGGTGTCTTTTAGAGGCTATGTTCTTTGGAGGCCCATCTCTAGCCACTGTATTTTAAAAGGAATAATCTCAGGAAGCCACATTTGCTCTCTCCTCCTTCATGACACCCCCCCCCCCGCCCCACTTAGAAGCATGCTAGGCATACTGCTACTTGGGATCTACATAGTCAGAGCACTCCCCTCACCACAGTCTTGTGGCTGATGGACTGCCTGGTATTAGAAAAATCTGAAAAGCTGGGGCAGTAGTTAATTACCATATTAGCAAATGTGCTAGTTTTCCTGGTTTTATGTTATTTCATTCAGAGTGGCTGGGTTTGGATATAATGATAAGCTGGCTTTTATTATAAAGGAAATGGGACTAGGCAAGCCTTGGGCTTGCATTTCCTTGCAACCACACCAGAGTGGTAGTGTTGGAAGGGACATGTTAAGACCAAAGCTCACCAAGATTCTTTCCAAAGATGAAAAATTATGGTTATTGTTATGCCCCTCCCCCAACACTTGGGATTTCCCCCTCCCATCCAGTATTAGTTCAGTGTTGTGTTTCAGGCAGTAAACATTTTACATCAATTCAGTGTTAGGTAATTTCAGTTCAGTTTTTTAGGAATTAAATTTTAGTGTGGATATGTGTGTATTTGCAGTATTGTTGTTAGACTTTAAATATTAGTATGCTATATGCCTATGCTGTGTATGAATTGGACAGTGGCTTGAACTGTTTTGTAGCTTGAATTGTTTGTGGAGAAAGTAGCCAAAATAATTCCGCAATCACAGGATGTTTACATTTTTAAAGTATTTAAACTGCTTCCTAGTTTACTGCTGTTAGAAAGAGCCTATTTCCTTTAGAATCTAGACATTTTATTCTTGGTAGACTGAAGGGTCTGAAATATAGGGCTGACTGAGATGCCCTCAGCAAATTCTGCAACCTGGTATATTACTCAGAATTGTAACGTCTAGTCATTACCAAACATTCAGATACAATCGGGGAACTTCCTGTAATTAATGAGGATGAGTGAGCTTATTTCATCTGTTGCTGAGAAGCTGCTTAAAATGCTTATAAAAGGGCGTAAAAATATAATTTCCCCCACTATTTAAATGCAGAATTTCTATTGATGGGGAAATAATTGCTTATAAGGGCAGAAAGCTAATGGTGGAGGAAGAAAAACATTTATATGAACTACAGAGTTTGACCGTTTTGGAAAGGGGGAAATCATATGTTGTTGTATGGCCCTCACTTTCTGTCTTTTAATGCTAAAAAGGTCAAATTTTCCTAACTATTTCTTCTCTAAAGAGCATATTTAATTTTAGAGCTCTATTTCAATTTAAAACTTATTTGCTGTTCTTCACTCATTCATCCTCACACAACATGTGAAAATAAGACATTCACATCTCTATAGTTAAGCTGGGGGAACTTGAGCTGGAGAGTTATGCCCAAGTTCTGCTATTGAGCATGGCTGAGCCAGGGGGGTTGATCTTCTGTGTTCCTCCTGACAGCTGGACTATGCTGACTCAGTATTTGATCCTGTTGCGCTGACCCAGTCAATTTTTGGAACCCTCACACTTACTCTTCACTCTTGGCTTTCTAGTTCACACAGTTTCGTTTGCACAGTTCCTTTTGCTTCAATACGTAAGAGGGGATTAGTTTGTTGCTTGGATTCAATAGGTAGAGATATCGTAAGGCAAGGAGCTGCCTTCCGTTTTGCGGCTGTTGTGCATTGTTGGGAAGCTAGGTCACGGAGCCATGCATGTGAGTGTAGCTCTGTAAAAGCCTGGGTGGTGTGGAGCTCCTCCCCTTTACACGTGCAGATGCCAGGGGAAAGGCAGGCACATGGCTTATGCTGAAACATTAGATGAAAGCCCAACCCTTTTGCGTAAGTTGTTGACTGGGAGGACGTGGCTGCTGCTCTTGTAACTCCTAGTACACAAGCTGAGCAGGAAGCTGCTTTGGCTTTATATAAGCTAGCAACTTGGCTCTCTCACTGCCTCTTTAACTCTTCCCATTCTGGCTTTTGAGAGTCTTTAGTTATTTCTGTTCTAGAGGCTTTGTTTCACCAGAGAAAAGATCTGTTGCTTCAGGATCTTCTTAGCTAGGTGTTAACTTCTTTAATACAGAGGGTTCCCTTTTAGAATTATACAGTATAAAGCAACTAAATGAATGCAGATCGCTTCTGTGTTCAAGCATAGCCTGGTGGGTGCCTGGATCAGAGGCTGTCTGAACAGCATGCTCAGGGTGTTGTATGACTTTCAGGAAACCATTCTGTTTTTCTGGGAAACTTAAAGCATCTTCATCTGCATTTCACACCCTGCAGAGGCATTTTGGGTTCATCTTTAAGTTACATTGGTGGCATGACTGACGCTGAGAGCATAAACAATGTGGACTCCTAACCCACATATGAAATCATTATTTTAGTGGTGGTGATCTCTGCACAGTGTTTAGGCATTCGTGTCTGGACATGCAAGTGGACTGAATGGGGCCAGTAAGCTGAAGCTGAATCCTAGCAAGACAGACATACCGTATGCAAGTGATTTCAGTGTCTGGGAGATAGGTCAATTACCTGGCAGGATTGTGCTCACTTTGAAGAAGCAGGTTCATAGTCTGGGGATATTCCTGGATCCATCATCATCACTTGAAACCCAGGTGTCCTCAGCGACCAACTTTGCCTTGTTAAACAGATGCAACTGTTCTAGGGGCAGAATAACTTGACCAAAGTCAGTCTTGTGTTGGTAACCTCAAGCCTTGATTACTGTCTGGGTCTGCATTCTGGCTTGGTCCAGAAGTTGCAGTTGGTGCAGAGAATGACACCTAGCCTGTTAACTGGAGTGACCTATTGGCAATACAATAGCACCTGTGCACTGGGATCTGCACTGCCTGCCAATATGTTACTGAACAGATTCAATGTTTTAGTTTTCTTTTTTAAATCCTTTAACAACAATTGACCAAGATACCTGAGAAGTCTCCTTACCCCCTGAATACTGGTGCAGTCATCAGGGGACTGCTTCTGGTAGGGTTGCACATTCCCAAGGTCTGTTTTCTGGTGACATGGAGCAGGGTTTTTAGCGTAGCAGCCCCATGGTTGGGTATTGAGCTGCTGCTGCCCCTTTTGGGATTTTGGCACCTGTTAAGGCATTTTTTATCCCACCAGACTTTCCCAGAAGGATAATTCTAGTCTGCCAACTGTTAATTTAGGAACAGTATGATTTTATAGATTATTATTAGTGTATTTATTTTGGTCTGGTACATTGCTCTTGTAGTGGGGTGGGGCTTCCAGGCCATAGATGTCATGAAGAAGAATACTGAAGAATACTTAGAATCATAGAATTGTAGAGTTACAAAGTACCCTGAGGGTCATCTAGTCCAGCTCCCTGCAATGCAGGATTCTCAACTAAAGCAATCATGATAGATGGCCATCCAACCTCTACTTAAAAACCTCCTGTGAAGGAGAGCCCACAATCTCCGGAGTTCGTTCCGCTGTCAAACAGCTATTACTGTCAGAAAGTTTTTCTGAATGTTTAGTCGGAATCTTCTTTCTTGTAACTTGAAGCCATTGGCTTGTGTTCTATCTTCCAGAGCAGGAGAAAACAAGCTTACTCCCTCTTCAATGTGACTTTCCTTTAGATATGGGAAGATGGCTCTCATATCTCCTCTCAGGCTTCTCTTATCCCGGCTAAACATACCCAACTTCCTCAACCGTTCCCAATAAAGCTTGGTTTCCAGACCCTTCAGCTTCTTGGTCGCCCCCCTCTGCACACATTCCAACTTGTCAGTACCCTTCTTAGATTCTGGTGCCCAGAAGTGGACACAGTACTCCAGGTGCGGCCTGACCAAGGTCAACTAGAGTGATATTATTACTTCCTTTGACCCTGGACACTAGACTTCTGTTGCTGCAGCCTAGAATAGCATTAGCTTTTTTTGCTGCTGCATCACTGTTGACTCATGTTAAGCTTATGGTCTACTAAGACCCCTAGATCCTTTTCACATGTTCCCCATCTTATATTTGTGCAGCTAGTTCTGCCTGCCTAAGTGTAGAACCTTACATTTGCCCCTATTGAAATTCATTTTGTTAGTTTTGGCCCAGTTCTACAATCTCTTAAGGTCATCCCAATTCTGTCTTCTGTGGCATTAGCTACTTGTTAGTGGCAAAAGCTGGAAATGTGAGAGAATAGGATTGCAGTGTCTGTTTTGTGAGTTTTAGCCCTGCCACAAAATATCTGAAGGAGTGACTGATCCTAAATGTATTGAGGGAAATGCTACTTCCCTACACAACTTATGGCAGCAAAACTTTTAAAACTACTTCTTTCTCCAATCTGCAGGATAATTGAATTGAATGGGCATAAACCTCCTCTGACGTACAAGCGTTTCCAAGCCATCATTAGTCGCATGGATCTGCCCAAGAAGCCAGTTGCCACAGTTACAAATCAACAGATGGAGATATGCAGGACTGAGATCCAAGAAAATCATGACGAAACTTATGGCGTTCCATCCCTGGAGGAGCTGGGTACGTTGCAGAACTGCAGGACAGCTACACCAGCTTTCAATGGGCTTGGAACAGATGGACTGTAGTACTCTTCTTGCCTGGCCTGTTCTGGTTCTGTCTTTAGAAACAAATTTGAGATTATCAGTTCACCTTGGGAAAACCAATGGATTAGCTGTGGATACTATGGGTACTATACCTTGTGTTGGGTCATTATGATTATTTTTTACTGTAAGAAATTACTAATTCCAGGCTGGTAATTGAAATAATTTATATATTGAAAATTGTGTGTCTAGAAAATAGAACATAGTCTTTCTTCTGTCCATGCTTTGTACCTTGGTTCCATACTAGTCCCCTAATATTGTTCCTAACCCAACTATGTCAGTCATTTCTTTATGAGCAGGCAGAAATCAGATTGTTAATCTTTAACACACTAGATTGGACTGAAAATTTTGTTGCTAAGCAGGTTGTTTAAATTTAGAAATGAACAAGTGGAAACAACTCCATTATATCAGCTCTATGGAAGTGCTCCAAGCTACATGGCTGTTGTTTTATTGAATTTTCTACACACTCTCTCTCTTCCCACCCCCCTCCATTTCAGTTTGAGGGTTGGTTTTCAAGGGTTATAATCAATAGTTTTGCAGAAAAATAAGTACTTATGTTTTCCTAGGTTTTATAGCATATGCTGCAGGGGTGTGTACCTTATGAAAACCTTTATTCAAAGGTGCCCTCTGCTGGTTGTCAGTGGTCATTTCATGTTGTATAGTGCAGAACACATTTAGTTAATACACTGCACAAGATTGAATTAAAGCCATATCTGTTGACTGAGTTCTATATTAACACCCTCTTCCATTCTCTTTCAGGCTTCCCCACTGAGGGTCTTGCTCCAGCTGTTTGGCAAGGAGGAGAGACTGAAGCATTAACTCGTCTGGATAAGCACCTGGAAAGAAAGGTAACCTTATAATCTGTATTGCAAAATAATGCATCAGGGAAGGAAGGGTACCCTTTGCTGTGCTATTACCAGTGTATTAGGTGAATCTAGAAAAACCAATCTCTTTGCTGCTCTGGTGTCTGAGACGTGTTGCAAGCCAAAGGTTGTCTTAGTTTCTAATGCTTTCACCCTGCTGAAACTAATAATGAAATACCAAATCATTTCATACTTTCTTGCCTTAATCTAGATCTTACATGTTCTTTTCTTACTCTTGTAAATGCATACACATTTTATATCCCAGTATTGTTGTCTGGTGTGCACCAATGAACTGTGATTGAAATAAAGTCAAGTTTGTGTACAGTCCACTTACATTTTCCTTTTTTTAATATTAGCCTATTATATACTTCAGTTTCTGACACACTGGTGTGGTGTCTGGTATATTGACCTATATCCCTTGTTTTCTTTGGTAGTGATTAATTGTACTGGAAGAAAGCCAGCCTTAATGGACACTCTTAGTGGTGAATTCCCTTAACTAGTAACAGTCAGAGTTTGAAAGTTAGGAAAATAAAGTGTGGTACACATGACACTGGCAAGTCATGACAAGATGTGCCTCCCTGTTCTCCCCGTGCAAAGAAAAAAACAATTTGAAGGTCCCTGCAACTGATAGATTGTTAGTAGCATCAAATAACACTTGTTTATAGAATTTCACAGAAGGCTGTTTTAAGGTCCATGACTGTTTTCTTTTCTCCCTTTACCTGAATCCTTCAAGGCATGGGTTGCGAATTACGAGAGGCCAAGGATGAATGCCAATTCACTGTTGGCCAGTCCCACAGGGCTCAGCCCCTACCTTCGGTTTGGGTGCTTGTCTTGCCGCTTATTCTACTACCGGCTCTGGGAACTATACAGAAAGGTAAGAATCAGAAAGAATCTTCCTTCAACAAGGTATCTTAAGTCCGGGAATCAAAATGAATCTGAGCATTTAGTGAGATGTTAATTCTCTTCATGTCTCTAGTAGACCTTATATCTGTAATCATTTCCAACATCTTGACGTAGTCATTGAAATGTATTAATTTGCATTTCAACCTCCTAGGTGTCTGCACTTCCCAGGGAATATTGGAATATTATAAATTTGTTTATACTGCCTTACATGCATATTCCAAGGGCATCTTACAAAGGAACAGACAAAATTATAAAAACAGCATAGGTCAGGAGATTATAATTGCATCTAAAAAGGTGTTTGCTTGGTGGCAAAAGGGCAATCAAGTGCGTGCCACCTGAATCCTTCTGTAGAGAGAAAACCACAATCAAAATGATAAGGTGATGGAGCAACTCCCCTGTGAGGAAAGGTTACAGCATTTGGAGGAAGAGGTTGCTGGATTAGATAGCTATTGGCCAGGTCCAACAGGCTCTTCTTATAAGAGTATTCCACAGCCCGGATGTCATCACTAAGAAAACCTCTCTGCTGTTTTATAGCTGGGACTGATTACAAAGGAATAACACATTGCTTGAGTTACATTTTTCTGAACATATTTTCAGTAGATGGTTCCCTCACACTGGCTGCCTTAATTTTGCCCTTTTAAGGCCTTTCTGTGGATTTTGTATACAAGCAAAGTTTAAAGCAAATATTCTGACCTTAGGTAATTATTTTTAGTAAAGGTATGCTTGGGAACAGGTGTTTTAAAAGCTTACTGCCTTGATCTCGTAGTAGAAATTTACTGAAGCTATAACCCTAATTAGAGTGCAGAATCTGTTGGTATGTCAAAAAACTCTGATACTATCTTATTGGTATATGTCTCTTTCTTCCTGTCATCTCTAGGTGAAGCGGAATAGCACTCCACCATTGTCGTTATATGGCCAGTTACTCTGGAGAGAATTTTTTTATACAGCTGCCACAAACAATCCCCAATTTGACCGTATGGAGGGGAACCCAATTTGTATTCAGATCCCATGGGACAGGAATCCTGAAGCCTTGGCAAAGTGGGCAGAAGGCAAGACAGGCTTCCCCTGGATTGATGCTATCATGACGCAATTGAGACAGGAGGGTTGGATTCATCACCTGGCCCGGCATGCTGTAGCCTGCTTTCTGACCAGAGGAGACCTTTGGATCAGCTGGGAGTCAGGCGTAAGGGTCAGTAACAAAGAAAAGAGACAGAAAGTATATGTTGGCAGTAAAGAGCTGTGAAACAGCTCTACAGGCAGCACAGCACTACCACAGCTCACTGAAATGAGCCTCCCATTCTAAGGAACCTCTTGAAATGTAATATATGATAAGCACATTCTCTTCTTGGGATCTGTTGGAAAGTCCCTGAAATGCAGCATTATTATTACCCCACCCATCTGACTGGGTTGCCCCAGCCACTACTATATTAACATGGTAGTAATCCTGTTCCATAAGAGCAAATACTGGAAACTTTAAGTGACAATATCCCAGAAATCAAATTCAACTGGACTACCTGACAGTAGCATAGCTTTGTTTTTTGTTGCCATTGTGCATGGAGAACATAGCAGTGGTAACTTCAAATAGAAAAAAATGTGCTTTTCCTGTCTGAGCAGGCAAGCTTCCACAAACTGTATCTTGCTGGCTAGTTTCTCTTATTTTTTTCATTCTCCCATGGTCTGGGTTCACTGAATATTACAAAATGATCAGTGATGTTGTAGGTGATAGTTGGCTTCACATCATCCCTGCCCCCTGTCACTGAGACTTTACTGAAGGACTTTCCTCACTGAGTTCACCCCTCTTTATTCCAGGTGTTTGATGAGCTGCTGCTAGATGCAGATTTCAGTGTGAATTCAGGCAGCTGGATGTGGCTTTCGTGCAGTGCTTTTTTCCAACAGTTCTTCCACTGCTACTGCCCTGTTGGTTTTGGACGTCGAACAGATCCCAGTGGTGACTTCATCAGGTGAGCAAAGTGTCCCGTTATGTCACTGGAGCTTGTCAGTTCAGTCAAGCTGCAGCCGAGGGAGAGATGGAAACACAATCATTCCACTAGCTCTTCTGAGAGACTGGATACCACTGGTGTTTCCATTGTGGCTGGTCATTAGAATCATAGAATTGTAGAGTTGGAAGGGATCCCAAGGGTCATCTATCCAACCCCCTGCAATGCAGAACTATTACATTTTTGTTTTTAGCTTGATGGTTTTCCTCTTCCCTCCTCATCCCCTTTTTGTGTGCTGTCTTTTAGTGATTATCTTGTTTTTATTGATCTTATGTAAGTTGCTCTCGGAGCCTTTTTGGCTGAAGTGTGAGGACAATGCTGAAAGTAAGATGCAGACCTGCCTCCTTTTGTGATTGGGGCAGTTGATTGTTTACAGTACTAAGTGAAGGTCTCACTCAATTTATGTTGCAGGCGATATCTTCCCAAGTTGAAAGGTTTTCCCTCGCGCTACATCTATGAGCCATGGAATGCTCCTGAGTCGGTGCAGAAGGCAGCAAAATGTATCATTGGGGTAGACTATCCCAAACCCATGGTGAACCATGCAGAGGCCAGCCGAATGAACATAGAGCGCATGAAACAGATCTACCAGCAGCTCTCACGCTACAGAGGCCTTTGTAAGTACTGAGTACTACATAATACATTTGAGTTTTACTAAACCATCTAAGCTGATCAAATGTCATCCAGCCTTTACAAGGAAGAAATGGCTTCTACTAGGTGTTAGGGTTTGTGCTCCTAGCAGACCATGAATCGCTCTGTAAGTAGTGTGTAATGTTTGAAAAACAGGAGACAGAACTTCTTCAGAACTGAAACCAAACACAAAGACACTTGGGGACCCATTATATGTAACACACATTGGAATAGAGAGGCATAAGCAATGAAGAATTAAGATTCTGACTTTATGCTGTGACCACTGCTCATCACAATATAGCTGTAAGAGAAAACATAAAACACAACAATATAAACCAACTTGCATGACAATAAATAAAATGCCTACGATACAGAATAAAAGATCCTTCCAGGAAAACAAAGGATATCATTAGTTGGTCACTTTTACAGCTCACAGCTGTAAAGGTATCTGTAGATATCTACTGCAGCAAAGAAGGCCACTCTGAATATTATTAAGCATACCTGTTTACAGGTAGAACATATTTTGTAAGCGGACCAGCCCCTGTGAAGCACAAATAAGCTATCTGGAGCTGTTACGAAGGAACCATATAAAACGTAAGGCTAAGTATATGATCAGAATTGTGCAGCAAGTATTATAATATACCAGTGCTGGGATCTTGGTTACTCTCCTCATCAAATAATTCTGCCAGCTTGACAGGCTTCCTATTATTACTATTACATTTAAATAAAACTGCCCTCTAGCTGTAAACAGATGGTCTTGTAGCTGAAAATTAAACTGGAATGTTATGAATTGGATGCCTTTGGCAACTTAATGTTTAAGTGGCTTCTATTGTGATTAACTGTTAATTTCCAAAATAGGAAATCTTCATCTCATGTTTCATTGGATTAATATGTGGGATGGGAATTAGTGGCAGTGAAGTCTAGTGATTCTGCTCCTGCCTGCAGGACCGTTCCCTGGGAATGGCTTAGAGTTGCTGTCTGTTGGCCCCCTGACATTGTGCTGCGCCTTCAGATGTATATACAGACATGTTCAAAGAAGTTACATTCAGGAATCAACATTGTAGCACATGTAGATTCCCTGACACTTTATAGTAGTCTTTCTTCTTCCCTCAGTATCTTGGAACCCTGTTGCCTTTGCAATCAGACAAGCGTCCAAAATCTTAATATTTCTCCACCTGCTGAAAACATTTCTAGACAATTAATTTGATTCTGTGTTGGTTAGTTGTTTTGTATTTCATGATGTTTTAATGCTTATATTGTATGTCACCATGATGCCCTTTACAGAAGTTGGCAGTTTTGGAGTACTGTACTAGTATAAATCAGTAAATAATAAAAAGTTGCCTGTTCTTTAATGGAACCATTAACTTTTTGCAGGTTTATTGGCCTCTGTCCCTTCCAGCATGGAAGACCTCAGCGCCCCCGTCACAGACCCTTCTGCAAGCCAAGGTAGCTGCACAAGTGAGTAGGCATTATTTGCATATTTTATGAACCTTTTAATAGGAACTTGGGAAATCATAAATAACTGTAAGATTAGTTCCACAAGGAATGTAGGTGGTGGAGTCTAGTTTAGGAGTTTTGTTTAAGAGTTGATGTGTGTCTCCTAGAATTTTTGTAAGACTGAAGTGAATCAGCAAACATATTCTATTCTGTACCTGAAGCCTGCCTAAGCATGAGATGGCTTGAAAGAAAAGCTGGAATGAACAACTGACAAGAATCTTCTGATCCTTACTCTGGTCTGAAGGAGAAAATATCAGTACTTGCTTCAGTGCCAAAATATGAACTGAAATCATGAAGGGAGTCTTTGCAATATAATAAAGGGTCTTTAGCAATTTTCCCTCTCAGCTGCTGCCTGTATTTTCCATCCAGTGTTGCAAATAGTTTGATAGTCTATAATATATGAGTTTCTTGAGAGAAGTGTCCTAGTAATTCTTCTTTAACATTTTGTAGTGCCAAGGCAGTCACACTATGGCCAGACATCTCCAAAACGGAAGCTTAATGTTGTAGAAGAACACAATGAAGAGCTGTACAAACGGGCCAAGGTGATGCCTGTGCAAATTTCAAAGAACCTACAACAAGAAATTGTACATGTGAGTAGCTAGCATATACTTGAAACATGAGCCCTTTAAGTTACCTACATTTTTGCTCCATGACTGCTATTCAGCCATCACTACACCTGTCAGTTCAGGACAGGCATCAGCACCTAGCACCTGGCATCCACAGCCAGCTGCTGAGGACCCATGACCCCAGCAGGGCCCACCATTGATGCCTGCCCTCAACCTTCCTTTAAGACAAGGTGGTTTTTGAATTTAGCCTCCCATTTTAATTTCTCATAGCTACCAGATGCAGTGCTGCTTAAGAGTATTGCTGTAGTACCCACCACTGCAGTTCCTTGGTGATCTATCTTAGGTCACCTTCCATTTATCTTATCCTAATTAACCCTTCTCTGCCCAAAACCTCTATGCTGCTGCTTCTGGTCTAGCTCCATATTGTCATTTCCCTAGATAGCTTTCTGCTACCTTCTCCTAAAAATGAGCTACTTGTCTGTTGTCTTTTTCTGTCTGTACCCTTTTTTCCTTTTCTCTCCCTCTCGGGAATGCTTTTGTTCTTCATTTTCCCTGGGTACAGAACCTTAAAATCCTTGCAGCTCTCCTGGCCTCTCTTTTATTTGACCTGCTATAAAAACTTGATGTTTCCAATCTTTAAAAATGGCTACAGCTTTGCATTTTTATCTCTTTCTATTGCAAAGACATGACTTATTCTTATTGGCATCCATTTTTCACCTGCTCCTTTTTTAACTTTGCTGTTCATTTAGTGGTGGTAGTTTTTCTCTCTCTACCTTGTTTTGCCCCCATTCCTCATTACACTTCCTTCATTGACTTCTTTCTTCTTATTGGATCCAATTTATTACTACTATTGATTTTCAATCTCTGCACCATTTGTATCCTTATCTAGCTTGTCTGTCCTCTATTTCCTTTTTCATCTCTAGTCTGCCAATACTCTCAGACTGCAGCTCACTGCCTTCCAATACCTGTACTTTGTTCTTCTTGCAATAGTTTAAGCTATGCCTTAAAACATTTCTCACAAACCTCTTTCTTTCCCAGCAGTCTTGCCCTGTTTAGATTGTATATCTGCAAATGGGCTTGTTTTTGAGGGAGAAAACTAACCTGTGGGCTCTTTTATTTCTTTACAGCCTGAAATGAGAAACTGACAAGGCAAAAGTCAGGTTCTGGAATAGGCACTTCAGTAGCAGAGAAGGATTTTTGCCAGAAGGATCAGAACATTGACCAACAACTTTACCCATCAAGTGTGTTAATGTATAACACAGATTCCACACCAGGCCTCTTAAACTCCTGTGCAGGATGCAGTGAGCAAGCTTCATCAATAACCAAAAGCCCTGAAGAACAAATCTCTGGCTTTCCTGAGATACAGTTGGAGTCTGCTAAGAAACGACATTGAATAAGACTTGCTCATTCCTAAATATATACCTGCTACTTCAGGTGGGATCCATTTGTTGCTCCATTAAGAGCATCCCTTAGTGTTCACTCATCACTTACTAGCAGGTTACCAAGGTGAACCATGCAAAATATTTAATGGTGCTTACCATAGTTCCAGGAGCTGCATCTATTAAACACTCCAAATACTGTCTCTGCCATTCAAACTAGAGCAACACTGTGCACCCAGGTGTGCACATCAACAAAAATACGTAGACTGCCAAAACAGTGGCATGTATTGATACAAAAGAGAACAGTGCAGTAACAGCAATGACCAGTTTGACGTAGGACAGCAATAGTAAGTAAGATGGATGGCCAGAATGGCAATAACTATTCAGTTAGGTGTGAAAATCCACTATGGCTCTCCAACACATAGTGTTCATGTTTCTATTCACTGATGCTGAAAAGAGGTATCTTAGACTGGAATACAGTTCTGCAAGAGTGCAGAATATAATACTGGCCACAGAACTTTGCTTCCATTAAAAATGCTGATTTCAGTTTTTACAAAAGCAAGTTTCTAGTCCTTATAGTTGCAAAGACATGCTTGGAGCGTGTGCATATTGTTCCTGCTGACCTCTCAGAAGCTTGATGAACTGCTGAGTGAGATTTCCTGTGGTCAGAAGGTATAGCTTCTTGCCTCTCTCCACAATTAGCAGAAGTGGAGTAAATCAGGCAAAATAAAAGACCAAATGTACTTTATTTGCATAATTTACACAGTTCAGAAAGCTGAGTTTCTTAGCAAAATCAGATTACTATAGCATTTTTTAAAAAATACTATAACAGTCCTGCTTGTGTGAACTTGCTTTTTTGAGTACCTCAGAAGTCGTGCCGGTTTTGAATGAGTTTTCTGACATTGCCGAAAACTCATTCAGTTTCTCCTTTTACTGCAATCAGTTCATGGAATGGATTGAATCATGTCTATTGTGACTTATGTGGAGTTAATGTGGTACTGGGAGTAAGAGAGATGGAAAATACCTCTTCTGTGCAGATTTTCCTAGTAATCTCCTTCCAGTGTAGTTGGTCCCTTTTCCCCCGGCTGTAGGTTGCAGTGCATTTGCATCTCTTTTGTTGAAGTACTCCTCAAGTCCTGCACTGCATGCATTGGCTTCACCTTATGGAGTACTTGGAATTCTAGCCAGATAACATCATAGCGCCTTCAGATTATTGATCACGCTTTCTTGATTTGTTTTCAGTGTAACCTTGGCAGGGTTTATTCTGCCCCACCCCCCAGTCCAGTCTCAGATCAGTGGGAAATACTGAGTTTGTGATCTTGAGAAGAGATTGTTTTATATAGCAGGTCTCATATAGTAACATGAGCTGTTCCGAGTAATATTTTTTCCTGTGTGAAGCACTTCAATCGTGTTAGAAGTTAGAGCCTAAGAAGCTTATCACAGATGGATTCTCAGCCATATATGAAGCTATATAATGCCCTAATGGTTTACTCTCTTTTTACAACATTAACTCTGTCTAAATGGGTGACCTAGACTTTTTGAATGTTGAGACAGTGAAGGACAGCCTTGACACCTTGAAGACATGGGGAAACCATCATTCTAATTGGGGAGCATGTGAAAACCATTTTCAGTAACACTTCTCTGAAAGCTTAACCACTACACTTGTTCATTGAAACTCTTGGACACACTTCACAAACAAACTAGATTACTTATTCAGGCCTCTTGTTGGATGTCCTGACTTCCTAAGCCATCATTTCTGGCTCCTCCCTAGCAGAAAGACAAGTATAATCCATATTATCTGGTGTTCTGTCTCCAGAATGCTTAGTGGAACTGAAAGTAGTGATGGAGTGAGCCCTATTTCCTACTTCAGAGGAAAGAAATGCACTTTCTTAATTTCAAATTCAAACTGTGACTTCAGTTCCTTAAAATGTATTCCTGCTTTTACAGTTGTGTTGTAACTATTAACTTGTTTTATAAATGTCTTTATCCCCGAATTTCTTGTCTTGGTTAATTTGAATTGTTAATAAATCCAGCAAATCCAGGACTGGTTGCCTTGTATTTGGTGTCTGGAAATGGAGTGCACAGCCAATCACAAGCAAACAATCATACCCTAGGCCAACCCCAACCTCTCTCACCACCAAAGGAACACAAGTGAACAACACAAGCAACGCTGACACCAAACTCTACATACATTAAACATAATAGAAACACCGCCACCCGACCCCACCCCCATCCATCTTCCCTCTCTCCACCCCCCTTTTTTCCCTTTTTTCTTCTCCCCCTAATGCCTCAACAAATGAAACGGATTTGTAAAAATGTTACATGGAAAAAAACAAAAACGAGGCATTACACTTACTTCTGTAAAACAAGAAAATCCTTAATAAAATATTTTTTTTTAAAAAAAGGAAATGGAGTGCACAATTCTGGAACAACATATAGTGCTTCTGTTCTTCCCCTTTACCAGGAGTGGCTAATGTGTTGCCCTCCAGATGTTGTTGAAGCACAACTTCCATCATTTCTGACAATTGGCCATGCTGACTGGGGCTGATGGGAGTAGAGTCCCAAAAACATCTGGAGGGACCTATGGTTTAAATATTGGTGGCAAAACGTGCCCAGGAACATTCCTGATGCATTCTCCAAAAAAGTTCAGATTTTGCTTTTAAATAAAAATGCAGGAAAAATAGTTTTGGAAGGCTTAAGACAAAAGCGGTTTGCCTTCCATGAGGCAAAGGTCAATAACAGAAAAACCATGCTAGTAACAGATCAGTTATTAAAAGTGCCAACGGTGCTTTACCAAATACAAGTGAACAAATCTGCCCAAGGTGTTTACAACCTAAAATATAACACACAGGAAGTGGATTCAGGGACAAACGGAGAAGGATTGTGGTGGTTTGAGTAAACTACTACAAAATGGACGTGTGCTGTAGCCCTGAGGTACAAGAATCAGCTTTCATTTACACTTGTGCAGCTCCTGTAGTGCAAGAAGATTGAAAATCTGCAGAGGTTGGTTCTTGATTAAACTGAATCAAAAAGAGCTCTGTGTTGTACTATATACAGTTCAGTTCCTGTCCAGGCCCTGTAGTCTCAGCCCAGTTCTCTTCTCCAATATTTACTGTTTTCAGATTTCTCAACAGTAATCACAAATTATTTAAGCAGACCATACTTTAAGTTGAAAAATCAATTTCTTCTCCATGTTATTTATGTATTTTGTTGCATGCTCTAATAATATTCTCCCCGCTATCCTGAAAGAGGTTGAAATTCAAACATGGAAATAATGAATGCCCCTTAAATTCATTCAAACATGCAGATCACTTCCTTAGTTGCCCACAGCCTGCATACTGACTGCTGTTAATATTAATCCTTATAAGAAATTCTGGGAGCTATTCAGTTCTATCCAAGACATTGGATTTTTGTCACTTCCCTTGGAGGCTGCAAATTGTATTTTCAAAGGATGACGTACTTGTGCTGGGGATACAGAAGCAACAAGTAGCAACCTGTGAGCATCAAAAAATTGTGCCGCAGTGTTAACTGGCTGCTCAGCTGTGGGTAGAAAGAAAACAATAACACTTGCTGCTGCTAATTAGTCCCTTACCATGGGGTAACAGTTATATCAGCAGTGATATTTAATCTTTCTGGAATGGACTGCAAATGAATAGGCACCCAGTATTGCAAATAAGACAACGCTACTGAACTTGCACAACTACTATCTCTTCTAGGTCATTCTGAAGTAGCAAATTGATTAGTTATATGCAACACAGCTGCTGCGTGGCAGATGAAAGGGTTTTTGGATGGGTTGTTTTTAAGGGTTTAGCCTGTTTTTTCAAAAATCCATCAGGGTTCAAATAAACAGTCTTGAGAAACTCCTTGGATAAATAGTTCTTACAGAAGAAGACCAGGGTACTTTTTAATCATCTGTAAGATAAGTTGAGCAGAGGATATTGATAAATCAATGCTGAAGGGAAAGCAAAAACACTAGCTGAAATCAAATAAATGCATATATTTTCTGCATGTATAGCAGAAAATCAGAATGGCTGTGGAAGTTTCAGCTGAAATTAGGCAAGTCCCTTCCTTGATGAACTTCAGGCGCATGGCCATGACTTTGCTGTTCTAGCAGGCATTTCAAAGGAGTGGTTAGTTTTATGATCCCCCCCCCCCAATTTTCTGTCAATTGTTTTATAGTACACTACTTAGAAATATTAATATTTAAGTGGTGTATAAATGGCTTAGATAAAATAACAGAATGAGTATTTAGAGGAGAAAGCAGGCGGATGGGGGGAATTATACTGAACCTTATATTCATCGAAGAAGATAAACTTGCTTGTTTTCTCCCTTCTGGGCAGCTATTAAAATTGCCCAAGAGCCCTTCACAGCTAGAACTATTGGCCAACTTACAGAGTGAGTATGAAGCAAGTATGGGGATGCAAAATACTTCACAACCTACACTTGTTATATAAACTGGCGGTGGTAGGACAATATCTGTGCTGTCAAGGTCCACATTCCATCAGGAGTAAAGGGTGGGGTGTTGCTTACTAGTGGACCAAAGTCACTGATTGGTGGGTTGGGTCACCCTTCTCTCTCCTTTTTCCTCTCTGCCCACAAGGTTGCCTGGAGAGGACAGGTTGCTCTTGCTAGATATCTGAAGGGATTGACTTCGGTCCTACCACCCTCACCGGTACACTCGGTAGTGCTATGGGAGAGGGCCTTCTTGGTGGCTGCTCCCAGACTATGGAAATCCCTAGAGAAGCTGGACTGGAGTTCTCATATTCCTTCTTTTGGCAAGTGAAGACTTTCTTGTTCCAAGTCTTTTGGGAACTGACTGCTTTTAGTGGAAGAGCTGGTGCTGTGCTGTTCTAGTTCGTCATTATTAGCATGGTTTTAATAGATTCTATATATACATATAGTTTCGATTCAATGTTTAATTGGTTTTTAAATTATTTTTCCCTATGTTTTTAGTGGTTCTTTTATCTGGAAGTTGCCCTGAGGTCCTGCCAGGGAAAAGGGGATAGATGATAGATAGATAGATAGATAGATAGATATCATCCTGAAGCAAAGTTCTCAACCCGAAGTACTATTTCTGGGTTAGTGGAGTCTGTATCCTGAAGCGTATGTAACCTGAAGTGTATGTAACCCAAGGTACCACTGTAATAATAATAATAATTGCTTGCCAGAGGCAAGCGTTGTGAGATTCTAGGAGTTCCAGGCACATACCCAGGGTTCGTATTTCTTTCACAATGAAGTGCAGCAGAGACTGTGGTGTATTTATGATATATGGTGTATTTACACATACATACAACCTGAATTTACAACAGAGGGATTCACAGCATTAACACTCCAAACAGTCATTGCTTATCCCAGCATTGAATTCAAACAGAAATCAATCACGGCTCTCTCTCTCTGGTTCCCAGATTGCAGCTTTTCTTCCAATGTCTAGCTTCCAGGTCACATAATTTTCAACTCTTGCCTTTGGATATCTAACTACCAGCCGCTTGAGGGAGGGGCCCCCTCATTTGCCATCTAGCACAAAGCCACTCCATTTAATGGTCTAGGCCAGAGCTTTCCAAACTGTGTTGCAACACATTAGTGTGTCGGCTGCAATGTGTAGGTGTGTTGTGTGAATGCTGCCTGTGCTCCTCCCAGGGCTGGAAAGGAGTACGTTTAACCTCCGGTTTGCTAGTAAAACACAATTACTGTGTCGCGCAATGATGCCTGTCTAAAAAGTGTGTCACCAGCATGAAAAGTTTTGAAAGCTCTGGTCTAGGCTATCGCCTCATCGTGAATTTGAATCCTTGCTTATATTTTAACACTTGCTGGATCCAGGGATTAGAACAGTCTTGGCCTATAGCCTACTCCCTGTCCAAACTCCTAACAATATTAATTCAATGAAAGAGAAGGGTCCCACAAAAAACACCTTAACTGTCCAACATTGCCAGCATATAGTGAAAGCAATACAATTAAGTTGCTAAATGCACCTGTTTGGAGGGAGTTCCACAAATGAGGGGCTGCCACAGCCCTCTCCTGGGCCACCATACTTCTGCAGATCTTAAGAAAGACAGCCATGTTCAGCAGTCTTCCAACTATTTGGGGCCTAAGTCATTTGGGGCTTCAAACACTAACATGAGCACCTTGAATTGAACCTGGAAATGAAATGTCAACCAGTGCAGCTGTTTTAAAATGGGAGTTATATGAGCTCTAAAGGGGACCCTGGTCAGTAATCCAATAGCTGCATTGTTGATCCACTGACATTTCTAAATGCTCTTCATTGCAACAAATACATGCCCCTTTTCAGTGAAAACTGACCTAATTACTGTGGGCACCTCCAGACTGATGGGCTTTTGCTGCAGTTGTATTCTGTAATTTTTTTGTGGATACAATAATAGCACATTAGAGGTGGATTTATACAGGACCATCCACATCCCATTCTACTTTATTAGCTGTTCCGTGATGCTTCCCCAATGTTACTGCATTATTACCACCTGGAAGGGGCTAAATGGCAACAAAAGTGGGACAAAAAAACAACAACACCCAGCAAAACATTTGTGGTACGGAAAGTTATGGGATGTGCACTGATGAGAAGTGAAGCAGTATGTCTGCCCCCAATCTTTTTGCATTGCAGGTGTAAATAGTATTGAAATTGCGATAGTGTATAACCACCCACCCCATTCTGTCATGAGCACCAATAGGAGATCGTCTGGAAGGGATGCCTGCCTCCTCAAATGAGACCTAAATGCCAGTTGATTTCCTCACATTCCTGCCTGATTGTTCGCGTTTCTGTACGTCTGTCGCCCTCCTGCCCTGTCCGAATTTAGACTGTAAGCTCTGTGGGGGCAGAGACTGGTCTCTGCAATGAACGTGCAATGAATGTACGTGCGCTGGTGGCGCTGTACTTACGGGATTTCCGAGCGAAACTTACAGGCCGCCCTTTACTACAAAGAAAACACCACGCAGTCAAGGGGGGATTCTCTCTGCACACATAAAGCACGCCTACACGAATATGCACGCACAGATCTAGAGCAGCTTCAGGTACAGATCCCCAGGCCCGGCTTCTTCTACGCGCAGCGCGCAACCGCCTCTTTGGCTCGGGCGACTCCTCTCCCGCTCCCACCTGCTTCCCAGCCACTCCCGGAGAGCTCCTCCTCCGGCTTCCCCTCCCTGCAAACCCCACCCCGGAGGCCCGAGGCCCGCCTTTGCGCCGCTTGCTTTTCCTCAGGCGCCTTTTGGCTCTGCCGCCGCGCAGGCCGCCCGCCTGTGCCTGGTGGGGGCGGCCCGCTTCACCTGCTGCTGCTGCTGCTGCTGCTGCAGCTCCCCCTGGCAAGAGGAGGCGGGAAGCGGGTGGTGGTGGGTGGGCTTGGCCGGCCTGCTGCATCCAGCCGTGGGGTGGGGTGGCGACGACATCTGCCTTGCAGCTGCCGCCGCCACAGAGGTGGGAACCTGCTTGGGCTCGGAGGAGCATCAGCGGTAGCGCCTCTTCGCGCTCACGCGCTTCTACCCCCCACCGGCTTCCTCCTGCTGATCCTTCCGCACCTCGCTCACCCCCTTCCCCGCCACCCACCCGCCGCCGTCGCCCTCCTCGCCGGTAAATAATCGCTGTCTGGTTGCCCCGCTGAGCCCTCCCTCCGCCGTGCCTGCCTGCCTGCCTGCCTGCCTGCCAGCCTCGGCATCCCCCTCCCCCTCGCCTCCCGCCTGCATGGAGAGGGAGAATGGCGGAGAGAGAGAAAGGAGCCACGTCCCCGACCGGATCCTCCCCGTTCTTGGGGCTGCACCTCGCCTCGCCCCCCAATTTCAGGTACCGGAGCTCCCCCAGTCCCCATCGCGACCGCCCTTTGCAATGGGAGATGCTTCGCCGCCAGGGGAGGTTGGGGGGCAATAGGCACTGCTCTACCCTACCCTGCCACCCCACCACCCCTTGCCCACCGCCTGCGTTTCAGTTCAAGGGCCCCTCAACACGATCCCGGCCCCGATGGCCCTTTTCCCTCCCCTTCTGTGTGGGGTGGTTGCTAAAGAGCGAGGCTCTCGTCATCCTCAGTTGTATCCGCCAGCTACTACATCCTAAGGATCTGGGTAAACAGATCCTTCCTATCCCCAGCACAGAAGGTGAATTGGGTGTGTGGAGGGGGTGTTGAGTAGGTGAGGAAGATAATAGAGAAAATGGGAGATCCTTCCCCATCTACCCCACTTCGTGCCCATCCATAAAGAGGCAGTGGACAGAGATTGGGGGGGGGGGCTTTATTTTTTGCTCCTCAAGACTGTGACATGGCAAGTCGTGGACCAGCAGGTGGGTGCCAATAGTGTGTCTCCCTCCCGCTGCTCCTTCTTCTGGAACAGGTGGGGTACCTGCCTATGGCTAGTGTATGACTCTTGGAAGGGGGAAAGGGAGGCAAGCTGCCTTTGGAACACCAGCCGCTCACGCAGAAAGGAGGACAAGGTGTTTTTTTCCTGCTGGGGAAAAGCCTGCTGGCTTCCTCTTTCCACTTCCATGAATATGATTGATAATGGGATCTGCACAGATTCCTACCTCGGTAAGCTACAGATTGCACCATCTCCCTCTGACACTGTCTCCTTCCCACAGCATGACACACATGCACTCCCCACACAACCCCAACTAAAGCTTCTCATGCTGTTCCCGACCTTCCATTTGCACAAATTTCCCTCACGCTGTTCCACATAAAGCTTCCCTACTCCTGAAAGATCAATACTTCCTTCCTACGCAAATCTCCTTAGAGAAAAATGTTGTCTTAAATATGGACACCTACAAAACTGCCATTCTCCCACTGTATCAGAACCACCCATCGCAGAAGGTTTGGGGAAGATTTGTAGCTGGCTGATGAGAGGGTTTAGGTATCTGCGAGACCATTTTGGGTTTGAATTGTGAGGTGAAATACCATGGCTATAAGGTATGAGCAACAATTGAAAAGGCAGTTGGGGAAACCTTGAACCACCTGTCTATGATTACATAGACTGGTTATGATGCCTCCTTGGCATCTACAGCCCTGCTCTTGAAGGTGTTTGGTGCAGCTAGGTAATTGGTCAGTTCCTCCATATTTGTTAATACAATTGTTTGTATCTGGCTTCGTATTGGTTTTTGGTTTTTTTAAGGATTTGTGGGGCTGGGTTTCACTGCTGTTATGAGCTGGTTTCTAATAATTAGATCAGCCGGTTTCTAATAATTAGCTCCATTTCCTGATTGGTATGCATTGCAGAGTGAAATGCTTTCTGACCTGGAAGGGAAGCCAAAATCTGTGATATATTCTTCATGTTGCAAGATTTCATAGTGTCTTTTGATATGAACTGCTTGCGAGAAAATGTTTGATCAGGGGCTCATAATGGAGGGAAATCAACTCTGATGTAGCTGTTTTATGAGATGTTTTGGACACTGTAAAGGTCAGGTTTTCTGTGTTACTTACACATTCTGTTCTGTGTATAACTTTTGTGTGTCTGTTTTATTGAAATGTTAGAGCTAGAAGGGGCCAGAAAAATTATAATGTTGTCCTTGGGACAGGATTCTTCATGTATAAACCACCCCCTCTCTTGCTGTAAACAGCAAGAGGTAAGCAAGCTTCCTTCAAATTAAAATCATGAATCTGGCAGTAATGATGCTAGTGGATGAAGTATGTAACAGGATGGGGATTTCATATTTCTTATTTATTACTTTGAGGTTTCCAAAGACAAGTATTTAAGGACAGCTTTTTACAAGTGGTCATAAACTTTGTCTTACGTATAGCTTTCCAAATGGAAAAAAAAAAGGGATGCTTTTGCATTCTAGTTCAGATCCAGTACTGGCAGAGCAACATCTACTGCCCCACACAGTAGCCAGTCTGTGTGTGTCACTTAAAAAAATATAGAGGGGGAGGCATCTAGATCTGCATAGGAAAGAGACCATCTTGAACACAATTTAGAGAAACAAAATGAGGAGGGAAAGGTCACAAATTGCCATAATGTCTTCACCGGGCTGAGCCTCAGACCTTTCATCACTAAACAGCAGCCCTGCTTGGATGAAGCCAAAGGTCCATCTAGTCTGGTGCCATAACTCTAACAGTAGCCAGCCATATATTTCTGGATTGACGAAGTCCTTATTTTTATCTGTTGTGAAACGGATCAATTCCATTGGGTTATCCTGAGTTCTGGTATTACATGAAAGGGAAAGGGGAAAAAACCATATATATCCCTTTCTGCACACCTCTCAGAACTTTATAAAGGTCACTCATGCCTTGCCTGCCCCACAAGGGGTGTGTGTGTATGACAATGAAAAAGCCTAAATTAATTTTAGCCTTTCCCCATAGGTCAAGAAGCTCCAGGTCTTAAGTAGTAGCTACACTGATTTTTTTTTTTAAAAAGAGATTGTGCTACTGACCTTTGAATTATCCATCACTTTCTGAATTAGCCTGAACTGACAGTTTGCCTTTTTTAAAAATACTGCTGAATATTATTTTTCAATGAGTTATTCAGCATGAATGGCCCCATCTCCTCTTGGAAAGGCATAATCTGTTCAAACCCCCTCATTGCTTTTAACAGAGTGTGCATCACTTTGTACTTACTCACACTGCATCTCGCTTGCCATCTTACTGCCCAATCATCCAGTTTGGAGAGATTTATTTGGGGCTACTTGAAGTCTGCTTGGATTTGCATCATCCCAAATAATTTTGTGTTTATCTGCAAACGTGACTGCCTTGATGCTCGCTCTGTCGTCTGCTCGTTTATAAATGAATTAAATAGCATTACAGCTCTTGAGGTAACCCCACTTCTTAATTCCCTCTATTTTTAAAGGCTACCCGAATGTTCCTGCATTCAGCAAAGTCCAGATTTTTAAAAAAGATGATCCAAGCATATTTAAGCACCTTGAAGCTCCATTGACTTCTGTGGGACAGTTCAGCATGTGCTCTAATTTCCACAGTTAAAATCAATGGAACTTCACAAAGTGCTTAACTGTGTAGCTCAGCACTGGCCAGTAGTGAGCAAAATGGCAGATCCCTCGGAAACCTGCTGTGAAAAGGTTTGCAAAGCACTTTGAAGGCAAAGCTGCTTGCATCTGCTCTGAACTTGAGGGCACAGCTGCTGGTGGTCATTCTGAAGCACCCAGAGCATTTTGGAGATGAGTTGGCTGGGATCAGTTTCAGTTGTTGCAGCATGAGGGAGCGGACAGGTCTTGCAGGGGTCTGGCCAACCACATGCCCTCTTGAGCCTTGTTTGCCATGTCTTACAAGATGGATGGGTCCAGCAGGTTGTTAATACCTTGCTCTGAGGGGGTGTAATGCTTGCTGCCCTGAAGGAGGTGACCTGGCCCTTAAAACGCCCTCCCAGGACCTAGAGGTTTTAGACAACTACTACCCTGTCACTGATGTCCCCTCCTCTGGCAAGGTGATGAAAGTGATGGTGGTGGCTGGCCAGCTTCAAATGTGCCTAAAGGAAAATGATTTTCTAGACCTACTTCAGTCAAGCTTCCAGCCAGGCTTTGGCACTGAAATCACTTGGACCACCTGATTGATGACTTACATTGGAAAAACAAGCCCTGTTGCAAAATGTAAATCAGGAATGCAGCCCTGTTGATCTTCCTTGATCTTTCAGCAGCTTTCAATATCATTGACTACTACAATATCATCCTGGAGGGGTTCTGCAGTTTAGAAGCTGCGTGCACCATTTTATGGCTGTTCCAGTGCTACTTGCAGAATTGCAACCAGAGAGTAGCATTAGGAGGCTTCTGCTTGGCCCCTTTGCTTTGGGGCTGTAGGGATCTGCAGGGCTCCATATGAAGCCACTGGGAGAAGCCTTCCAGGGATTTGGAGTATAGAGTCATCAGTATGTGATTGACACCCAACTCTGTCATGTGAATCAGGAGAGGCTGTTCAGTTGCTGGAGGCAGTAATGAGCTTGACCAATGAACTTTGGCAAAAGAAATGCAAGCAGGCAAACAGGTTATATATTATATATGAATGAATGAAATCCAGGAGCACATTGTAGAAAATATAAAGACCAACAACAACAAAATTAGAAACAGGAAACTGGACAGGGATGCGGTTGGACCTTTGAATGACGTAGTCACAGGTGTGCTATAAGAATAAAAGAACATTTCAAGCTGAATTAATTCTTTGAATCCATTAACACAGCTGAAGATGCAGGGCAGGTTATTGCGCCTGAAATAACTTTCTCAGGAGGTGATTCTGGGGAACGGGGGATAAGAGATGAAGTTTGAGACCTCACTGACAAATTTAGAAAGAATAAATAAATCACCAGGTCCAGATGACATCCGCCTGAGGGTTTTTGAAGAACTCAAATGTAAAACTGTTGATATTGTAATAAAAATATGTAACCTGCTAGAAAAAGCTCAGAAAAGGACAACCAAATGATCAAGAGGCTGGAGCAATTCCCCTATGAGGGAAGATTATGTTTTCCTTTACTCATTTAGGAAAAAATGATAGAGGTGTATAAAATTATGCATGGTGTATAGAAAGCGGCAGAGAATTTTTATTTCCTACCTCATAATGCTAGAACGTGAGTCATCCAATGAAGCTGAACATTGGAAGATTTGGGTGAGGCAATGTGCATAGTTAAACTTTGGTCTTCTCATTGTTGAAAAAGATGTTGGACTAGATGGGTCTTTGATTTGATGTATCAAGTCTCTTATGTTGTTATGAGTTGTACTCTCGCAGAAGGCTCATCAGGGCCAGCCCACACTTGAGGCAAGGTGAGGCAGTTGCCTCCAATGAATGTGTTGCTCGCTGCTGCTGCATGATCCTTGGAGGCTGGATCTGCCACCTCCTGGACAGTTCTGCCTCCCAGTGCCACCTCTACAGCAGCCTCTTGACAAATAGGAGGCGCTTCTCGTCTTCTCGGACCCCTTGATTGGAAATAGTGTGGGCTGTCTTCTGGGGTCTCTTGGGTTTTGCACCCACCTGGGTGATTCAGAGAGGGCCCCTGCCATCCTCCTATGGTGGAGGAGGTGCCATTTTGTGGCCCGCATCACATGCCAAAATGTCTTGGGCCAGTCCTGAAGTTCATACCTGTTTGCTCTCCTAAGCAGGTTGGGTCTGCAACAAAATATTTCATCTTGGGGTGCTCCCATCCATTATATTCCCCCCCCCCCAGTCATTCAGCATTTTGTCGCTGCTTAGCACACTCAGTTCTCATTCAACCTTTTTGGTTTTTCTTCTTAGAGTTCTTTTTCAAAGAGATTTTTTGTACTTCTGCAAACCCCTGGTTTTCCCAGATCTACTGTTTTCTCCCTCCTGTGTATAGATAGTGCTTTTTTGGCTTTGTAAGCAATGACACTTATACCTGCAGATTCCATTTAGCTATTGATTTGTTCTCTGTAAATGTGTCCTAATTTAATTTTAACGCCATCTAAGCCGGTAGCCAACTTGGCATCCTGCAGCAGTGAATTCCATAAGTTAGGCCTCTGTTGCATGAAGCAGTACTTTTCTGTCTGGAGCGTGCAACTAATGAATTTAATTGGGTGAGACAGGGTTCTAGTATTATCAGTAAAGGAGTATAAAAAAAAAAATAATTCCTCCTCCACACTGTAAAATTTTATATCCTTCTAGCACATCCCTGCTTAGTAATTTCTTTTCTAATTTAAATTGTGATAAGGAAGTGTATTTTCCCAGTGTCAAAATATTGGTATTTGAGTGCCAGGGGAAAGTGCAGCTTTCTTGAAAAAGGAATATTGGTTTTGAGGAAAGACATCTGAATGTCTTGGCCATTCATATATCATGATACAGTGAGTTCCAAAGATCAGTGGTGAATGTTGAAATTATTTATTTTCAACTTGATGCTTATGAATATCATCAGGTATTTTCTACTTCTGGAATGGACCAAGATAATAAGCATCATATAAGTCTGATATTCTCATATACAGCTTTATGTTCTTTGTGTTCTGGTGGGCCTAGTTATCACCCACCATGATTAAGAAACTTGCCTGAGAATGGACAGGGTGATTCTCACACTTGATACTTAAATTTGGCATTCTTTAAATCTACTCCTAATGCAGTTGTAAAACCATCATTGGCTAGAGTATGTTCTCCAGTTTTTCTTTGCTCTTACTTTAACAGCAAATTTGGTCTTACATTAACAGCATTCTCACAGTACAACTGAGATTCACATGTACTTTGTGGCGTCATGTAGAAAGATTCTAGTTCTTTGGTTATATAATATACAATGGTACCTTGGTTCTCAAACTTAATCTGTTCCAGAAATCCATTCCAAAACAAAAGCATTCCACAACCAATGCGGCTTTCCCATGGAAAGTAATGCAAAATGGATTAATTTGTTCCAGACTTTTAAAAACAACCCCTAAAACAGCAATTTAACATGAATTTTACTATCTGACGATACCATTGATCCATAAAATGAAAGCAATAAACAATGTACTTGCAGTCACACAGTCAATAAATCAGTAGCTGAACCGGGTTCCACACAGTGACAAAAACATAACAAAAAAGCCGCAAAAGCAAAACCACAAAATACGTAGCAAAAACAGACAGACCTCAGCATAACACCCAAAACAGAAGTGTGGCACTCAAAACGGAAGCGTAACACTCAAAGCGGAGCATGTTCAGATTCCGAAAAGAGTTCGCAAACCAGAACACTTACTTCCGGGTTTACAGTGTTTGAGTTCCAAGTTGTTTGAGTACCAAGACGTTTGAGAACCAAGATGTTTGAGAACCAAGGTACTACTGTATGTCTTTAATTATGAGAAAGGGCACAATACTAAGGCTAGATCTACCAGGATGTGTGGTGTTAGGATCCAGCAGGTATCTGGCTCAACTTGGCTACACCAGTGAAAGTACCCAGCACTGACTCAGCTGGCTGATGTCACATCCTGACTCACTTGGGACCCAGCAGGGGGACTTAGCTTGGATCCTAAGCCAGTTCAGCATAGTCATGTGACCTGGAAACATAGTGTAAGTTAACCTAACAGAAAGGTGGTGTCACCCAAACTCCATTTTATAGGCTGGCTTTTTGTCTGCCAGGCTTTGTCCGGCTCAGCCAGTAGCAGAAGTCCTCCTGAACGGAGTTTGGCTCTGGCGTACTTTATGCCAGTTTAATTTAAGAAAGCATAATTTATGCTGGCTTCCCATACTTAACAATTGCTCCCTAATTAGCTAGCCCAAGGTCCATCATTCCCAGTGGGCATTCTGTTCTCGTGCTCTTAAAAATAATATTCAAAGAATGGCTTCATTTTTACAAGATCCTTATTAGGAGCCTTGAGAAAGTAAAGTACCAGTTACATACCAGTGGCTGGAAACCTTAGGAGGGACGAGTGATGTTTTGCTTCGCATAGGTACCTGGTTGACTGCTGTATGAATAGGAAGCTGGACTAGATAGGCAGATGATCCAGCAGGCTGTTTTTATGTTCTTTTGGGAGTCCCCCAAGGGCCAGCTAGAGAAGTCTGGAGGGCCACATTCAGGCCCTAGGGTCAGCAAACTTTTTCAGCAAGGGCCAGTCCACTGTCCCTCAGACCTTGTGGGGGGCCGGACTGTATTTTGAAAAAAAGAAAGAAAGAATGAATTCCTATGACCCACAAATAACCCAGAGATGCATTTTGAATAAAAGCACACATTCTACTCATGTAAAAACATGCTGATTCCCGGACCGTCTGCGGGCCAGATTTAGAAGGCAATTGAGCCAGCTCCGGCCCCCGGGCCTTAGTTTGACTACCCATGCCCTGGGGCTGCCATCCCCCACCCCTGCTCCAAAGTCTGATTTTTAAGGTCTGGCTTCATATGGATACTTGCAGCTCTGTAGTTGTTCCTTTGAACAACTGTGTAAGGTAAAAACAATCTGTTTCAATCTATCAGCGTTTTCTAAAAGCCTTTAAGTTTTTAGGGTTTGTCATAAACATGAATAAGGTGTGGGTTGATCTCTGCTCTTTTGTGAAGATTGATCTCTTTTCTAGCTCTAAAATTGTTTGCTGGATTTGTTGAAAATTATTTCAATGTGGCTGAATTATGTTTTTAAAAACCTACTAACCAAGCAATTATAGCTGGCCCAGAAGATACAAATACTGGAGAAGTGGCTCAGTTAACAGAACTGGCTAACTCAAGACTAGTAGTAGAGATCATCCTAGTCCCATAATAGTCTGGCTATGAATTGTTGTCCTAGATACAGCATTTGTCTCCTGGGCTTCTTGTGTGTTAATGTAAACAGCAGCATCTAAAAATGGAAGAAGACTATCAGGCCCAGGTCTGTCAATGTAGAACTCCATTCAGACTTAATGATCCAGATAATAATAGATTTTGCTAGAACCGGGACTCAGCAGTTAACAGGAAGAATTCAGGAGACTCTCTAAGACAGGTGTAGGCAACCTAAGGCCCATGGGCCGGATGCGGCACAATCGCCTCATCAATCCGGCCTGCAGACAGTCCGGGAATCAGCGTGTTTTTACATAAGCAGAATGTGTGCTTTTATTTAAAATGCATCTCTGGGTTATTTGTGGGGCATAGGAATTTGTTCATTCCCCCCCCCCCATGGTCTGAGGGGTGGTGGACTGGCCTATGGCTGAAAAAGGTTGCTGACCCCTGCTCTAAGATCTAGGTCAAATAGAAATAAGTTCCATTCGCTGAAATATGGGAATCCTCAGATCCGTGAGGATTAAGAGAAACTTTGCAGGCTGTGAGAGGGCATTCAAACATCGCCCCTTAAACAAAAGCAACTGAGTGCCTTGTGACACTCTAAAGACTTAACAATGTTATTGTGGCACAGGCGGTTGCTGGCCAGCAGAGGTGGAGCTACCCGCCCTGGCACCCGTAGCGTCGGGAGGGGCGCTGCTAGCCATCTGCGGCAGCTTCGTCCCTAGTGGTCCGCCGCCCATGCAGCGAGCATCCGGGGGCGCTGCCTGCACAGTGTGTGTGTGTGTGTGGTGCGACAATGTCACCTGCCCTCACGGCTGACACCTGGTGCACACCGCACCCGCCTTCCTCTGCGAGTACTGGCCAGAACATACATCTGATGAGGCAGGTTTGCCTACCAAAGCTCATGCTGCGAATTATTTAATCTCTCGGGTCCCCAAGACTTCTACAGTGTTTCTCAAACTTGGGTCTCCAGCTGTTGTTGGCCTACAACTTCCATCATACCTGACCACTGGTCCTGCTAGCTAGAGATGATGGGAGTTGTAGTCCAACAGCAGCTGGAGACCCAGGTTTGAGAAACACTTCCCTTGGGTTTGTTGCAACAGGGTTAGCATGCTGCTTAAATGTTTTCCATTTTTTGAAAGACGTTCAAATCTGAAATATCTGAAAATTGTGCCACTGAAGGATTCAGCCCCATTAGCCAACTATCTTTATATACTGTACTGAGCTGCACTTCAGCATCTGTTAGCAAAAGGGGCTGCCCTTTTCTCAGGGTTTCTGTTGTTCTAGGCTGTAAAGCAAGCAGAAATTTCTGTCAGCCCTTTTTACAATGACCTAGTTCCAGTTCACTCCGTGCTCCCATCACAAGGTGAAGCCTGAGCAACTGTGCTTTGATGTTAAGTGGCATCTAAGCAGAGGTGACACATGTGCAATGGTGCAAGTCTGATCTGACTAGGACTTGGAGAACAAAAAGTTGTTTGGGTACAGGATGGAGTTTGCCTTTCTTGAAGGTGAATTTTCCTCCTTGCTGCTTTTTTGTTCATGGGGCACTGTATTTCTCTACTGACCTTTGAAGACTTCGTGGCCCATAATGATTTGATGACTGGCTGAAAAATAAAACAGTCCTTCATCTAACGCATGCACCTCCTTCTTTTCTGTGGGGACTTCACCCAGAGCCCACTGAGTGGGGAGTCAATTCCTTTCAGTCTACAAACCATTGTTCAGCATTTGTACTCTTGACTACGAGGGGTAGTCCCACAGCTATGGCTTCCTGCATCTGAAACATGGTTATCATAGCCCTTGGAACATGCACCAGCTCAACCAGCCTTCCTTAGGTTGTAAAGAATCCTGAAATGAGAAAGGAAAGTCTTTGCTTTGTGCCGAAAAATGGTAAAAGCAGGCCCCAGGCAGGCTTCCTTGGATAAAGTGTTAGTCTTTGGCACAAGTTGAATCTTTGGCCGTGTCTTATCTTAGTGCTGCTCAAAATAATTTATCTCCAGATAAACAACAGAGCATGTATGTCTTGGAACCTGATAAGAGACACAACCATGCCTCATTTCCTTTGCAATTAATCTCTGCAGTTGACTGCTGTCACAAGTTCAGACAAATATTATTTTAAAACATAAAATATAACAATACAGTAGGCCTGCATGGCATCACACGATGGAGGCTAGAACTTTTGCCAGCTTGCATAGTTCTTGTCTCATTACATATATTTAAACAGAGTTTTGAAATTCATCTGACTGTTCGGGATTAAAACAGCGTCTCCTGGTGGGTGCAGTTCTCTGATATTACCTGTCACATAGGAAGTTGCCTCCTGCTAGGTGAGATTATTTGTCCACCTAACCCATTTTTACTACTATGAATTGCAGTAACTTTCGGGTCTCATTAGATATATTTCCTGACATCTGTTAGCTAAATGATCCTTTTAACTGAAGATGTCTGGGATTGAATCTGGTACCTTCTGCATGCAGAGCACATGCTCTCTCGCTGAGCTATGGTCCATGCCCTGAGTTGATATATGCAACACCGGAAATGAACTGGAAAGGTCCAGAAAACAAGAGAGGATCAGGTGGCTTGGGAACTGTGTCTTTCCTGTAGTTGGGCATTAATGTCTAGGCAGCCATTCCTTATTATTTCATAGTTATCTTGGGTAATCTTGGAAATACCATGATTCTGAATCCAAATAGGAATGTAGGACATCTAACAAATCCCAGAACAGTTCGTGTACTGCACTATACATGATTCAAAATCTTTTTTTCAGTCTTGCCCCTAGTTTGGGGCACAGTCACATTCGCAGTCTTCCAAATCTATCTTTGCAGCACGTCTCTGTTCTTGCAATGCTTCCACTTTAATTTCTGGAAGAGAGCCAGTAAAACCTTTCTCTCATCTCGTCCCTCCCCGGCAATATGTATCCTGCTAATATAGATATGCAGGAAGGAGAAAGGGAATTATATACATCTCAGTGCAATTAACACCCCTGCAGCTAGGCAAATGAACAGAGGTCAGGAGTTCTGGAAGGTTTAATGCAATGAAACCAGTAGAGCATAAATATTATTTTTAAGCTCCTGAATTTGTCATCCTCCTTTGGAGGACAAAGTGGCACCTGGAGATGGGACATTGAATGGGATAGTTCAGTGCTAAGGAGAACTTTCTCAGAAAAGAGACTTGACTGGAGGGACCTGCCTGCATATTGTGTGTCTGCCTGGTTTATGAAAGCATTTTTATCCAGTTCCACAAATACAAGTAAGAAGCTAAAACTCAAGATTCCTCTTGCTTGCCTGAAGTGCAGGAATAGATCTCAAAATCTTAAAGGGTGAGCTTTTGCATCCCTGAGGAGTTGTGTCCTGAGAACTACAGTCATACCTTGGGTTGAAGTAGCTTCAAGTTAAGCATTTTCTGGTTGCGCTCCGCAGCGACCCAGGAGTAACGGAGTGCGTTACTTCCGGGTTTCGCCACTCATGTATGCGTAGATGCTCAAATAGAGGTCACGCGCATGCGCGGAAGCGGCGAAACGCGACCCGCAGATGCGTGTTACGTTCTACTCAGGATGCGAATGGGGCTCCAGAACGGATCCCGTTTGCATCCAGAGGTACCACTGTACAAACATTGGAGCAATTTGTATCAGACCATAGTCTGAAATGAAACTGAAATCAAAATGTCAGCTCTTTGGGACAATTTGTGTTCAGTGAGCACACCTACCTACTTCTACCTAGGAGGTCTCATAAGCATGGTCGCATGAGAAGCCACTAGGTTTCACTTTGCACCAGGTGCTACTGTTCCCAAAAAAAAAAAAATTGAATTCAGAACTCCTGAAACAAAAATAGGAACAAAATATCAAGTGATAATGTGCACATGTGAATGAGCTGTTACAGATCTAATGCCAAAAGTCAGAGCTCCTATATCAACTGGCATCACCTCAGTTAAAACACTTTTCATCGGAGGCCATTCACCTGCGAATCATTGAGTGATGAAGTCATTTACTAATGAGATACTGAGCGGTCAACATGCTTGTACAGCCTCTATTCTCTCATACTCTTAACTCGGGAAGATACGCTGATCAAGCACCTTCTCCAGTGAGGAATGTGTGAACTACTTTTAAATGCATCAAAATGGCTAATAGAGTAAAAAGGCAGAATAGATCAAGGAGAAAGTAAGACAACTATGAATGGCTATAAGCTGTCCATCAGATTCAGTTGAGCGATCAGAAAATCAAGATTTCTAACAACTTAAACCAGATTCTGGAATATGTGCTATGCATTGTGTGTTGCAGCAAATAATGTGTTTTAAAGCAGAGCAGGTAAAATTCATGGATATATATGTAATAGCAGAAATTCAAGGCTGTAGGGCAGGGTACAGTACAGATCCTGCGGGATAGAAGCACATTGGACTACAACCACAGAGAAGACAGAAATGGTCTGCTTTGCTTATTATAGAGGTTGGCCAAATAAGTGGGGGACTTAGGTTGTTGAGGTGTTCAATAAGTTCACCTGCTGAGTGAGGTGTGACAAGATAGTTCTGATTGACCCATGTGAGGACAGGATGCTGGACTAGATGGAACATGGGCCTGATCCAGGAGTTTTTATGTACAGTGGTGCCTCGCAAGACAAAATTAATTCGTTCCGCGAGTTTTTTCGTCTAGCGAATTTTTCGTCTTGCGAAGCACGAAATCCCATAGGAATGCATTGAAATTCAATTAATGCGTTCCTATGGTCAAAAAAAGTCCAATCAAAGCCAAATTCGGTACAACAAGAGTTTATTAACTGCTCTTTAAAGTCACACATACTTTAAAGAGCATATCAAAAATTGAAGGAACAATAAATTAAGTTTCTAAACATGACAGGAAAAACATTTAAAAATCAAAAAGGGTACATTACATTTTCTAAGACTCTGGGGACCACTCGAAGAAGGTTCCTCTTCCACTCTTTGCTTCTTGCTGAGGAACCTGTCCATGGTCTGCTGCTTCATCCGCCGTTTCAGCAGCTCCCTGAGAGGCGACATGACCGTCGTATCAAAAATGTTCGCTTGGTCATGTGCCACGTGCTTGTCAGGGTGGTGCCGCTCTGCAAAAGCCTGCACCTCATTCCACTTCTGGCAAATGTCCCTCAGTTCTTTGGAGGACAGCCGTTCCTCAGTTGCTTCCTCCTCTTCCAGCGAGGCCTGCTCCTGCGCAACCTCTGACTGCAGTTCAACCAGCTCCTGGGTGGTCAGCTCGTGGTCGTGCTCCTCCACCAGCTCGCAAACGTCCTCCTCTGTGACCTCCAGGCCCAAGGTCCTCCCTAAGGCAACAATGTCCTGCACCACTGTCGACTCTGGTGCATCAGAGTCACTTGGTGCCACACAGTCCGGCCACAGGCTGCGCCAAGCGCAATTCAAATTCCTCTGGCTGATCCCCTTCCAGGCCGTGGTGATCATCTTCAAGCAGGTGACGATGTCGAAGTGGTCCTTCCAGAATTCCCGCAGGGTGATGGTGGTGCAATCAGTCACCTCGAAGCATCGCCTGAAAAGCTCCTTGGTGTAGAGTTTCTTGAAATTGGCGATGACCTGCTGATCCATCGGCTGGAGCAGTGGCGTGGTGTTAGGCGGCAGGAACATGATGTTGATGAAGCTGAACTCCTCCAACAAGTCCACCTCAAGGCCTTTAGGATGAGCAGGAGCATTGTCCATCAGAAGCAAAGCCTTCAGCGGCAGGTCATTGTCCAGCAGGTACTGTTTGACAGCAGGGCCAAAGGCAAGATTGACCCAGTCCACAAACAGCACACGTGTGACCCAAGCCTTGCTGTTGGATCGCCACATGACACTCAGCCGCTCCTTGTCGACCTTGTGTTTCTTGAAGGCCCGTGGGTTCTCCGAGTGGTACACCAGCAGGGGCTTGATCTTCAGGTCGCCGCTTGCGTTGGCACAGAAGAGCAGGGTCAGACGGTCCTTCATGGGCTTGTGGCCAGGCAACTTGGCCTCCTCCTGAGTGATGAAAGTCCTTTTGGGCATCCTCTTCCAAAACAGCCCGGTCTCGTCGCAGTTGAAGACCTGCTGTGGAACGTAGCCCTCCGTCTTCACAACCTCCAGGAACTCCAAGGCAAAGTCTTCAGCCGCAGGAACATCAGAACTGGCAGCCTCTCCATGCCTGACCACGCTGTGGATTCCGGATCTTGCCTTGAACCGGTCAAACCAGCCTCTGCTTGCCTTGAAGACTTCTGGCTCGGCCGAGGTTCCTGGCTGTTCCCGGATGAGGTCTGCGTGCAAGGCCTTGGCCTTCTCACAAATCACGGCCTCAGTCACTGTGTCCCCTGCACGCTGCTTCTCTTCTATCCAGATGAGGAGCAACTCTCGACCTCCTCCAGAACAGCTGGGCGGTTCTTCACGATCCTGGTGACTCCCTTGGCTGCATCAGTCGCAAGGATCTTCTCCTCATCTTCAGGATGGTCCCGATGGTCGATGGGTTCCTGCCGTACTCCCTGGCGAGGTCCGTCACACGCATTCCACCGTCGTGCTTCCGGATGATCTCCTTCTTCATCTCCAGCGTCACCTTCTCCTTCTTCCTCTCGCCGGCCTCCGCAGCAGCAGCAGTCTTCTTGGGTCCCATGGCAGCACAGCTGTTACCTTTGTAAAACTCAGAAAAAGAAAAAAAATCAGCAATTCAAACCCACAACCAAGTCCTTGAATTCCAAACACCCAACCCAAAATCCAAAAACCCCAAAAAAGTTTTAAAAGTTTAACTTACGAAATGGCTGCAAATCACCAAAGTCTTCAAAATCCTCAAATGGCTGCAAAAGAAGTTTTGGGAAAGCTTTAAAAATCACCAAAGTCTTCAAAAACCTCAACTGTTCCCCCAGCCCCTCCCCAACTGTTGCAAACCCCACCCCAACTGTTGCAAACCCCTCCACAACAGTTCCCCCAGCCACCCAGCACACAGAAATTAAAAACCCAGAAAAATTTTTCAAAAAAAAACAACATTGCCCAATGGTTACAGAAAACCATAAAAATTCAAAAAAAAAGCACACAAGCTCCCAGATTCCTGCAAACCCCTCCTCAACTGTTCCCCCAGCCACCCAGCACACAGAAATTCAAAACCCAGAAACTTTTTTCAAAAAACAACAACATGGCCCAATGGTTACAGAAAACCATAAAAATTCAAAAAAAAAGCACACAAGCTCCCAGATTCTTGCAAACACCTCCCCAGCTGTTCCCCCATCCACCCAGCACACAGAAATTTAAAACCCAGAAACTTTTTTCAAAAACAACAACATGGCCCAATGGTTACAGAAAACCATAAAAATTCAAAAAAAAAGCACACAAGCTCCCAGATTCTTGCAAACACCTCCCCAGCTGTTGCAAACCCCACCACGCCGGATCCACCAGCCAACCCGCACACAGAAATACAAAACCCACAAACTTTAACAAAAAAAACAAAATGGCCCAATGGTTACAGAAAACCATAAAAATTCAAAAAAAAAGCACACAAGCTCCCAGATTCTTGCAAACACCTCCCCAGCTGTTCCCCCATCCACCCAGCACACAGAAATTTAAAACCCAGAAACTTTTTTCAAAAAAAACCAACATGGCCCAATGGTCACAAAAAAATCATAAAAATTCAAAAAAAAGCACACAAGCTCCCAGATTCTTGCAAACACCTCCCCAGCTGTTCCCCCATCCACCCAGCACACAGAAATTCAAAATTCAAAGCCAGATTTTTTTTTAAAAAAATAAACATGGCCCAATGGTCACAGAAAATCATAAAAATGCAGAAAAAAACCACACAAGCTCCCAGATTCTTGCAAACCTCTCCCCAACACCAAGTCCTTGAATTCTAAACACCCCAACCCAAAATCCCAAAAACCCCAAAAAAGTTTTAAAAGTTCAACTTACCAAACAGCTGTAGAAGAAGTTTTGGAAAAGCTTCAAAAATCCAGCAAACTCTTTAAAAAGCTCAGAAAGGCCACCACACCGCGTGCAATGTGTTGCTCCTCGAGGTCAAGTCGCAACTGCACCTCTTCCAGCAATGCACCCTGGGTTTTAACGGTTTTACGAAAAGGAAACAAACTTGCAAGACGTTTTCGTCTTGCGAAGCAAGCCCATAGGGACATTCGTCTTGCGAAGCAACTCGAAAACGAAAAAACCTTTCGTCTTGCGAGTTTTTCGTCTTGCGAGGCGTTCATCTTGCGGGGCACCACTGTACTAGGAGAGGGCCTTTTCAGTCATGGCACCCTGTTTCTACAATGCTATTCCCAAGATGCTTTCTTTGTACCTGCTTTGAGGTGTCCTCAGTGCCTTTTTATTCTGCAAGCTTTAATTTATTTATTTTTTTAAACTTTGAGTAATTTAAAATTATTTGTGTTTTTAAGATATGTTCCGAAATATTAAAGGACTGTTTCAATATCATTTGTGCTGTTGGGAGCCCTGCTGTTTTGGTTTTAATACTTCCTGCTGAGTTTTTATGCTGTATTGTATATTTTGGTTTTGTGGTTTCAACTGTATTTTATTATTTTGTTGCTGGGCAGTATATGTGTGTGTGTGTGTGTGTGTGTGTGTGTGTGTGTATTTGTCAATAGCAATAAATAATCATGCATTCAATGTTGTCACCTTGGATCTGGGGCTCACCCTACTTCCAGCAAGGCATTTGAAGCTTGGAAGTTGCTGCTGCTGCTAAAATGCAGAGCCACTAGCAACAAGCCTGAAGGTAATGAGCTGATTTTTCCAACCCATGGGAGCCCATGCATTTGCAGGAAGGGGCCTTCCTGGCTGCTTGTTGCTCACGCAACATGCAGGCTTCGGCTACGGAAAGGGTCTGTGTATCCCCGGAGACGTCTAATAGCTTTTTCTGAGCCTGTGTAAATCCCCATAGGAACTAAAGAAGCGGAGGAAGGGGTGGCTAGTTTTTCAGCCGTTGAGCACCATGGACAGGGATTTGCTTTAGAAAATGCTGTGGCAGAATGGAGAGAGAATTAGCATGCTAATCTGCTTGTGATGATATTAATTTTAGACAAAGACTGTTTCAATGCCTGCAGTTAGCCCGAATAATCATAAAACTAAGCCCATGGAATTCTAAGCATCACCCACAACCACTTGGGCAAGCACAGGAAGGAAAAAGCCCACTTCAGTGTAATAAATAGCTGCATGCATATAACACAGTCTTGGTGAGGATGCCGCTGACAATCTCTGCAAATGCATTGTCACAATCAATAACAAGGAGAAAATATGGTTAATAAACACAGAGCTAAACTGAGGAAGCAGAAGCAAGGAGAGAAGGGTAGGCAATGATGAATGCTTATTTGTGAAAGCAATGGGGCCGTTGAGACTGCATGGATAGCAGTGGCACAGGGACATGGGGAAGGGGACTGTGTCCCTAACAGAAGGATTCTCCCTGCATGTGCTTGAGTAGGACCACATAATGGAGTTCAGTAATGTGCTCTAGTCATGGGCCATTGCAAGTCCATATGGAGCATCCCTGTGTAACATCTGCCAGGGTTGGTTTCTGTCTCCCCTGCTTTAGCTGTTGCCCAAATGTACCTTCCTATATAATGGCAGTTTCAAGTTATTGATTATAGTGCATACTTAGCAATGGAGAGAAGCTGTTACTGTTTTATCCAATGCCCAGCAAGCTCAGATTTCATGAAATGGCAGCAGCTAAGGTGCCAAATGATATTCTTCTGGTCCCAGACTGTTAGGTTTGGGAATCTACATTGCTTGACCTAATCCAGGTTCAGAAATAATGACAAGGCACACCTTCAGTTGTGGATCAAAATCAGGTGCTTGGGATTGTGGTGGTCTGAGTGTTTGTGTCAATCCCAAATGCAGGCTTAGTGCATAACTTTTTGTACAGTGCAGGGATTTCTCGATTGCTCTGGCTGCAACTGGCATGATTGAGATAGCTATCCCATTCTGCCTCATTCAAGAGTTTGGCATCTTCCTCTGAGCAACCTGAGCTTGGGCTGATGTCAGAGAGAGGATATTGAGCTAGATGGTCCATGGACCTAATTCAGTTTGGCAGCCCCGATGGGAAAAAGCAAGGCTGAAAACGAAAGACGGTCAGGAAAGCGAAAAAGGTGATGTAGCAAAAATGGTAAGAAGGAAGCAGCGCAAGACAGCATGCACCAGGTTCTGTGAAAGCAAATAAAATGACATCAGAGGTGGGGGTGGAGGCAAAAAAATCAAAGAGAGATAAAATGTTGAACAAATGCATTTTGGTTATGTGGAGCTCAAGTAATTAAAATGGTATTAACATTAACAACAAATGCAATGACGTTGAAGGCAGTTTCCATTGAAATTGAATTTCTCATCTCCCTCTCATGTAAAATCATGGGAGTTGCTTTTGGGGGACACAGCAGTATGCATCATGCTTCTATGAGCTGGCAGTCCTTTGTCTAACTCATTTGGAGGAACATTATGATAGCCCAGCGACTGTTCTCCTTGTGTAACATTAGCATGAATTACCTGGACTGATGCTCGGAGGTTCTCTCTGTGCCTCTAGGATTGCCTCCCCCCAGTTGTTGCCCTGCAGATGCCATTGAACTACAAGTTCCCTAATCCTTGACTGTTGGCTACACTGACTGGGAGTGATGGGCGTTGCAGTCCAAAATATCTGGAAGGCCCCAGCCTGGGGAAGGCTGCTCTCTAGAGGCTTTGCTGTGGTGGTGTTTTAAAAGCATAATGCTCCTTACAGCCTGATCCTCGGAGTGCTGTGCTGCTGGAGGTCCCAGTGAAGTGAATGAGGCAGGCATGTACCTTTATAGAGTATTTTGGAAGAGCAGACTGTCTGTCTTCTGGGCCAGCTCCTTAATGGGGTGGCTCCAGCTGGTTTCTGTGGTTTAAATTAAGCTCCAGCCAGAATCCCTTAATGAACATGCAGTTGCTGCTGTTGACCTAACTCCCTCTCCGCAAATGTTCTTAAAAGCTTTCAATCCACCTGGGTTTTGGAATTGTCCCCAGCAGAGATCCCTGGGCAACTTGCAAAGCAGCCTCTGTGTGCCTGAGAGCCAATCTGGATGCGAAGGGTTGCTCAGGGAGCTCTAGGGTTAAGTGCTTTGCACCTGCTGTTCCGCTCTCTTCTCCATGTCATTCAAAATATACTTAGTGCTCCTCTCATATATATTCTCCCAGCCTAGACCAAGGTGGATGTGTGAGCCCCTAATGTAGAGTTCACTTGTTTATCACCCCCCAGCAGGTGATAGAGATGGTGATATTCTTTCAGATGCCAGGGGGGCAACTGGAAGTGTGCAGTGCACACATTTTGTTCTACATCCCTTCCACATCGGAAGCTGCTCCGTGTTCCTCCTTCCTAGTAATAAGGCTAATAGTGCTTCACTGCCCTTGAGGGTGATGGTGGTAAACACTATAATAAAGACTGGGAATCACTTAAGACTGTGATAAAGGACCCTTCACATAAATTGACTGCCACATGGAGGCCATTTGAAATGGTGCCTGCATGGCAACTTCTCCAGGGAGCAAGCTGCTTAGGGACAGTGGCTCACCTGTGCCAGTGGACTGCAGGCCCGCCGAAAAAGGAGAAAGGTGGCATTGCAGCGCCTTGTCCAAAGCCAGCAGGAGGTTTAGACCTTGAGGTCCCATTTTAAAATTAAATGCAGTAAGTCTGCAGCTTTCACGCATTTAACTTGTGTACATTCAGCTTTATGTGTGTGGCAAAAATGAAAATGAAAATAAATGGAAAGGGGGTGGGGCTCGGGGGGGATGACTTGGGCAATCGCACCCACCATTGAACCCAATGTGTTTTAACTGTACACTATTTGGACTTTAGGCGCTATCCCCAGAACATAACCCCAGCATAGGTTGAGTGTGTGGTACACGAGGGATGGGGAACCTGTAGCTCTCCAGAAGTTGAAAGACTCCAACTCCTATCAGCCTCAGCCGCCATGGTCAATAATCAGAGATGGTGGGAGTTGTAGTCCAGCGACATTGGGCAGCCACAGGTCCCCATTGCTGCAGACTACAATAGGCTTGCTGTCCCACCAGAGTAAACACTGGCCTGTGAATCACCCAGGTGAGTTAACAAGGGGATGTAGCTGAACAACCCTGGGGTTCCTTACTTTGGTAAGTACCTTGATGGTATAAGCAAGCTCTGTCTCTGCCCTGTGCTAGCCATTTTAGATTCCTTGTGTAACAATATTCCTCTGCCTGAATAATGGAGATGGCTGGGTCGTCCTCTGGCACTTGGGGACTCTGGTCCCATGCAGCCTTGTTGGGGCAGAGGCATTGCAAGGTCAAGGGGAAGGATGGCTTGGCAGAGCTTAGTGCCACTGATGTGGTAACTCGATTCCCCACTTTTCCCCTTGACTGCAGCTGATGGGGAGGGGAGCAGAGATGCGACTTGATCAGAAGCCTGCCTGGCTGAGGGAAGCAGCAGACCAGGCAGAGTGCAGGGCTTGGCACCATCTCAGCCCAGAGGGTTATTTCCCCCCACCCACCCCAGACAGCTGAGTCCATTTATTTTTAATGAGCTCCCTTAGAATGCGCAGTGAGAAGGAGAGAGCAGCGCGAGCGGCAGATTCTCCCCAACCGGGACAGGCAGAGGAGACGGCACATACACAACTCTCCTTTTTCTTAAGGGGGGAGGCCTCCCTTCAACTGCGGCCGCTGCTCCTCTCCCCCTGAGGCGGGGATCCTCTTAAATGAAGTTTGAACTTAAAATGCAGTCGAGCACAGAGGAGGAGAGCTGGCTTGAGGATCAGTGGGAGAAATGGTATGTCTGGGGGCAGGAGGGGGCCTGGGGGGGGGGACACAGAGCTGGTCTTGTGCACCTGTACAGCGTTTTTACATTATTATTTTTTAAAAAAGCATTTCCGTTTGGCTTTATACCAGCCTATTTATTTAACCGGTGAAGTCTGACTTGCTAAAAACCCTGTTTGAGCAAGGTGTCTGCATAGCAGCTGCGGCCTCTGTGTGCAGACTTGGTTGCAAACTTTTATCTGCTGCGAAATAGGATTGAAAGGCAGTCGGGGCAGGGCAAGGAAACCAGACCATTTGGGTAGAGTTCTGCTAGTCTCTCTCTGGCATGGCTGGCTTTGAGCCCAAATGGGACTCCTTAGTTGCCAAAAGGAAAATATTGGTCTGTCAAGAGAGTTTTCTTTCTTGGTGCTAAGAAGCCGTCTGCAGGAGACCTTTGTTGTAGGGGAGGTCAGGATCATGTAGACATTGTGGTGAATAAGTGGTGTGGGGAGGGCAGGAGTAGATCTTCCAGTGCCCCGGCATGAGCCTGTAAGTTGCCACTTGCTGTCACTGATGGATCAAACACACAGCACCCCAGAACTGAATATGTGGGGCTCACTGCAGGGAAAATCCTCCAACCAATCATACAATTGGTGCTGTCTTCAGTTCCACTTTCAATGAGAAAGTATGGCAGTCCCTTTATGTCAGACAGGAGCAGATTCAATACTGCTGTTAGCTGGGAGTGACAAACCAAAGGCTTTGCAGGGCTCTTCTGAAATTGGGTATAGGTAATTGGGAAAAATGCTCCTGCTGGGCTATTGTGGTAATTGCCCATTCGTTAGCCTCCCAGTGACAGGGACAGATATTTGCATGCAATAGAACAAGTATTAACAGAAGAGATTTCCTGACCCCTGTGACCTCTCTGGAACAGGAGAGGGAATCAATTAATGCTTTGGCAGCCCATCATATAGACTCTCCATCCCTCTCCTAATATTCCTCTCTTCTTTCTTCCCTTCCTGTGTGCAGCCCCTCAGAGACATACAGGTTTCATGTCAAATGCCCCACCCCCTTGTTAATCCAGACGGGCAATTCAATTACAGCCCTGCTACGAATCCCTTCCCTAACTCCAGCTCCATGCAACTTTCTCTGTAGCTCTGGAAATCCCTGGTCCTGATATCACTGTGCCAATGCAGGGGAGAACAGAAGACAAGGCACCACGCTCCTTGATGGGTATCTTTTGCCTCCTTTGCAGTGTAAAGTACATGCCAGAGAGTTGCAGTTCAAAATGGTATAATGATTTATAATATTAATAATTTACTATTTATACCCCACCCATCTGGATGGTAACCTCTTACACGTGCTATGCCTCCCAGTGTGACTGGTAATGCCCAGTGGGAAGAGGAGTTTCCTCCCTCCGTGAGTAATAAAGCTAAGCAAAGGATTCAGCTGGGAGCTGCTGGGAGAGCGATGGCTTCTCTGCTGAACCCTGCTCTGTGCAGCAGGCTGCGCTTCAACCAGCAACAAATTTCTCTGTGCAAAGACTTGCCCTTGGCAAAATGTCCCCAAATGTTCCCTGCTGTTTTCCTGTGAATTGATCTCAAGCAAAAGCCATTGACTGCATATTGGAGGGGCTGCAGAAAGCACTTTGGCAAGGTTTCAGAGGAAGGAATTAGAATCTATATTGATAAGATGCATTGAGATGATCTGTGGATGATTCATTATTTCCTTTCTTGATGTCTCCCTTACTGCCTTTTTCTTACCTCCATGGGGAGCAGATAGGCTGACGTGTCTACTCTGGTTCTTAAGGCTAAATGCAGTCTCTTCTCTTGAGGATATTGTCAGTGTTGGGGAAGGGCATTTCCTCTTCTGTGGGGAAAGGACACCTGGGGGGGGGGAGGAGAACATAAAAGGCTCTTTCTGCGTCTTGGCAGATCCCGGGATATTAGGGAGCAACTGAGGTTTTCATTTGGAGGAAGCTGATTGGGCAAAGTTCAGCAGTAAATTGCTAGATATTGTCTATGTTTCTGCTCATACAGTTTTGTTTTAGAGTTGATTTATAAAACTATTGGATTGAATTTTTGTGTATTTTATACTTTGATATCTGTGTGCTGTAAACTGGTTTGGAACACAACTGATGAAGGGCAGTTTAGATATTAATTAAATAAATGCACTTCAAAGGATTAAAGAAGGGAGAGTCCTATTGTTGCCAAGTGTTCTTGGTAGGTTTTCTCACTTTTTCTGTCTGAACTACCTGGAAGCCTGGACAGCTTCCATAAAATACCAAGGTGGTGTACAACAATATAAACAGGTACAGTAAAGCAGAAGATGCCACAAAACAATACAAAATAACTGGCTCATCTTGGGGGGGGGAAATTAAGCAACTGTATAGACTTGTTAGCATGAAAGTGTGAAGAGTTATAAACTGAATCTTCTTTAGTCGAAAGCTTACTTTTCTCATGCTCTGTCCCCACTTCTTAGTTTCCTTTTCATATTGATGGTTTCTTTATGATGAGACGTACATATGGCGCCACACAATTGGGTCAGTTCTGCAGATGTTCTTGAATAATTCAGGCCAGACAGAGCATTTGGGCTGAATCCTGACAGTTCTAGGATCCTAACATTTTAAGACCAAGTTCAGCCTAAAAAGGAGTTGACAGTGAGCTAGAAAGGTGTCCATTGGTTCTGCCAGATGTTGCTGTAGTGTACAGTATTATGTTGACAAGGTTAATTTTTCACTATTAAAATGCTGTTTTGAGATATCTGGCTTCATCTTCCATTTTCATAATGCGTATTTTCTGAAGAAGTCAAAACATTCGGAGTTGGGAAAGAAGTTAGATGAGGGATGAGAACTCTTAAGTTACTTACGGATTGTAACTATCTTGCTGGAGTGATTCAAATTTAGGTTTGTGCAGTTGAAGTGGTTTTACTTAGGAATTGTGAGATAGCAATTAATCGACAGGGAGCTGTTATAATATCTGTGCAAACAGTTCAGGATTAATGTTTAATAAATAGCCATGGGGGAATGTGAGTATAAGGTCTGTTGGCTAATTTGGCTAAAATCTATGCAAAGTGGTAAGGAAAATGAAATTGAGTGAAACTGTTTATCAGTGGAGACTTCAGCATTAGGGGTTAAAGGTAGAGCCCTCCCAATCAAAAGGGGCATTGTTAAAGACAACCAAACCATCTCAACAGGTTGAGTATTTGCATTCCGACCCCCTGCTCTGTCTTATGAAACTGAGCAGTCAGAACCCACAGCGCCACTCTGGGTGACCACTTGTACAGTGCATCACCAAAAAGAAAAAAGAAAAAAGAACAGATTTGCATTTATAAATGCAAATTCAGAAATCATTGCAATAATTTAATCAGAAGATCATCTCAGCGTAGAGTAGGGAGACTGTACGCTGCGAGCCTGCTCTGTCTCTCTGCTAGGCAGTCTTTGAGGACTATCCTCTACAAAGTAGGACTCTTGTCCACCCTGCTGTCACCTGGGATGAAATAGATTATTGTTCATCTTTATTGTTTAAATTGGTCTTTTGGAGGAGGGGGATATTGGGTGGCGGCAAGCAAGACGCTGATTTTGCAGCTTGCTGTGCATTGTCTGTTTTTCACATAAGCACGTTTTCAGGGACGGTTGCCAGTGAAATTTGGCAATGAAAAAATTAGCATCTCAAATGGATGTTGCAGTGATTGACAGAAAAAATGGAGATGTGGTACCAAAATAAATAAGCCAAAAAGGAGGGGCAAGAGTGATGCAAAGCCTCACAAAGATGTTTAAATGTGTTTGTTTTAAAAGTCATACAAATATAGTACGTCTAGTATGTTTTGCTGCCTTCAGGGGCAGAAATATTCCTAAAAGCTTTAAACCACAGGTGTGCAATGTAGGGAATGCTTGCAGCCCCCAACAGCACCTGAAACTGCCTAATTCCTTCCACCCTCTTAGTTTCTTCCATCCCCATTGTTTCCTCTCCACCCCACTAGTTTTTAAAATTATTTCCCCCTCTTTCTTCATAGTTTCAGAGGAACTGATTTTAAAAATGGTAGATTTCTGCTACATATATGTATATTGCACATTAAAGTCAGGAATTACTTTTACTTGTTTTTCAGAACAGTAGCAGTATTGGTCTGATTGTATTAAAAACACCCTTTGTATTTGAGAACGACCCCATTAAACTCAATGGGGTTTGCTTTTATTCTGAGTCAACCTGCATAGATTTGAGGATTCTTATCTAAGTAGCCATAATAAAAATTGAAAGCACAGCAGTATTTATACAATATTAGCTATTTTTTATTTATATATTTTCTTACATTTATATCCTACTCTTCTTCCATCATGGAACCCAAGGCGACATACATATGATTTCCCAGAGGTCTCCCAGTCCAGGCACTGACCAGCCCTAGTCCTGCTTAACTTAAGGGAGATGTTGACCTCAAGTGCCTTCAGACCATACTCTGAGACCATTCTCAAACACTTTCATCTCTGGCCCATCATTGACTTTGGCTTCCATAACTGCCAACATGCAGCCCCTGAGAGAATTTTTTTCTTCTTGACAGGGGGTGGGGAGGGGGGGAATTTCCCCCCCTGTGGTTTTAAGTGAACTATATCAATGAGAGATTTTTGCCCCTAAAGAAAACAACACAGCAAAGCACATTGGATAGAATTATTATTATTATTATTATTATTATTATTTATTTATTATTATTATACCCAGCCCATCTGGCTGGGTTTTCCTGGCCATTCTGGGCCGCTTACAACATAATCTAAAAACGTAATAAAAGCATCAATCCTTAAAAACTTCCCTAAACACAGCTGCCTTCAGATGTCTTCTGAAAGTCAGATAGTTGTTTATTTCCTTGACATCTGAAGGGAGGGCATTCCACAACGTGGGCGCCACTACCGAGAAGGCCCTCTGCCTGTTTTCCTGTAACTTCACTTCTCACAGTGAGGGAACCAGCAGAAGACCCTTGGAGGAGGACCTCAGTGTCGGGGCTGAGCGATGGGGTTGGAGGCCATTTAGGGGTTTAAAGGTCAGCACCAACACTTTGAATTGTGCTTTGAAACGTACTGGATCCAAATGGTCTGCATCCTCCAGGCGTGCCTGGAGTTGTTCAGCAACCACTCGCTCAATCACCTTGCCCAAGAATGGAAGATTTGAGACTGGGCGATAGTTGGCCATATTGGTCGGGTCCAAAGATGGCCTTTAAGAAGCGGTTTAATAACCACCTCTTTCAGCGGGTCTGGGAAGGCTCCCTCACAGAGGGAAACATTCACCAGCTCACAGAGCCCATCACTTAGCTCTTCCTGCTTTTATAAGCCAGGGTGGGCAAGGATCAAGGAGACAGACGGTCGGTTTCACTCGTCCAAGCAGCCTGTCCACATCCTCGGAGGTAACAGATTGGAATCGATCCCATACAATATGACCAGACAGGACCCTAGCACTCTCCTGCTCTGGCCCTGCTCCCACGGTGGAGTCTACATCTTTCTGATTCTGAGCGACTTTATCTGCAAAGAAGTTTGCAAAATCATTGTGGGAGATCTTGGGGTTATCACCAGGCCCCAATGGGGAAGGTGGTTCCGTTAGATATATAATATATATCATATTTTTAAAAATCAAGCTTCATTTTGAAGTTTTACCTCATCCTTTTTTTTTTCTTTTTTTGCACCTACACTCCATTCCTATCCTGCCAGCACAAGCATGCACACACCACCCAAACCTGGAAGGTGGTCTCCCTAACCCCAGATATATGGGACTTAGTTGTGATTACCCAGTAATGAGGAGCCCTCTCTGCATGACCAGAGGTTATTTCTTCACATTTTCAGGTCTGAGTTATGCTGCTGAAAATAGCTTCCAGTTCTGTGTTGCAGTGGGCTGCGTCTCAAATTAAACCATTAACGTTGGCCTTGTGGGCTGAAACAACTTTAAACCCCTTTTTTTCCTATGCTCATATAACATTTATATAAAAAAAGAATGCCTTTAAATATGTTCTTTCAGTTTTAGGAAATGTAGCGGTTTGGTTTTGTTTTTGAGAGGCTGAGAGGGTTTAAAAATAAAAAGCTTCATGGAGCTAGAGGCGAGTGTGTTACGGGACACTGTAAACACTTTGATTATTTTGGTTGGTTGGCAACAGGTATGTATGTTATAGATAGATAGATAGATAGATAGATAGATTATGCCTTTCCACATACCCCTCCCATAGGGAAAGGCTGGGGAATCTCTGGCTCCCCAAATGTTGTTGGACTCCCAGCTCCTATCAGCCCCAGTGAGCATGGTCCATGGTCAGGGATGATGGGACCTGGATGCCAGTGTGCAGGTTCCTACCCCTGGTATAGGGAGTACCATATTTTTCGCTCTATAAGACGCATCAGACCACAAGACGCACCTAGTTTTTGGAGGAGGAAAACAAGAAAAAAAAAATATTCTGAATCTCAGAAGCCAGAACAGCAAGAGGGATCGCTGCGCAGTGAAAGCAGTAATCCCTCTTGCTGTTCTGGCTTCTGTGACGGCTGCGCAGCCTGCATTCGCTCCATAAGACGCACACACATTTCCCCTTACTTTTTAGGAGGGAAAAAGTGAGTCTTATAGAGCAAAAAATACGGTAATTGATGTTTCTGCACATCTTTGAGAACATTATTTCCTTTTGTATGCCCTAGTGTTGGGAAAGGAGGGGCTCAAAATAGTGCCTCCCCCAGCTCTCTCACCAGCTACCACTACGCGAGACCAGCCTCTGTGTTCTGGGCTGCAGGGAATGTTGAAAATACCGCAGCACAAAGAACAGAAGAATCAGGGAAACTCTCAGATAACCAGGACAGAAGAAGGTAAAATTCCTTTGGAGTCTCTACTCAGTGGATTATCTAATATAATTGTCAATTTAGCTTGGCAGGCAATTAACCTTTTCTCTCTTTCGGATCCAGGCCTGGGATCCATTGCCCCAAGCATCACCGTGTATGTTGTATTTCCTTTTTGGCTAGCTTTCCTTGATGGATAACCTCACACTCTTTGCCTTAACTTAGGCTCACCCATGACATCAGCCTGGAGGAGTTTGAGGATGAAGATCTCTCTGAAATCACGGATGAGTGTGGAATCAGCCTGCACTGCAAGGACAGTTTGGCCTCACGGGTAAGGAAATCAGTGCTTCCTTAATTATTGCTAACGAAACACCCATTCCCACCCAATAGGCAGGTAAGGGATGCGGTAATTGTTTCCTGGCAGGTCAAGCCACAGCCATTTACACACACACAAAAACACATGTACTTTCTCAATTTGAACCCCCTTCTATCTCCATCCTTTGCATCTGCTTAAGCCTTACTCATTCTCCCCGGCAGCCCTGCCCTCCCACAAACCTGAAGCCCTGTACAAGAAGAGGACTTGTTTGGTTCTTATCGTAAGGGACCAGACATTTTTATGATTCTTTTCTGGACGTCCTTAGACCAGCCTTCCCCAGTCTGATGCATCACTGTGCTGACTGGGGCTGATGGGTGTTGTCCTTTAAAATACCCAAAGAGCAGCTGGTTGGGGGAAGCTGGCAGGCAGTAATGGTTCGCCTGTCTCTCTGTGGTTTGTATTTAAGTGTTCAGTTCTCTTTATGCTGCATCCTGGGTCTGGGTCACCCTGAGGCAACGTCACTGCAATGCACTGTGTCTTGACTGCACCTGGAGGAGCACCCAGGCCTGAAGCAAATACAGGTGCCGCTGCTATTGTGTGCTTATTAAGCAATCCTTCTTGCGTGAGGCTCTAGACTGGGACTCATTCCCAGCTGCAGATCAGCGGGGCTTGGACTTGATCTATGAAGTATTAACTGTTCTCAGCCTTTGAGAAACTTTCCTCAGCATTTATGAGATCTGAGGGCGCTTAAATGAAGGACATCTTGTGTGGAGAGTTTTGCTAAGCGAATGGGAATTGGCATCATCCTTAGATATCCTGCAATAATCTCAACTTTTGATTGGCAGAGCCTTCAGTCTATATTGTACTGAAGGTTCATTTCCTTTTATGAGGCTTCATTTTAAAAGCTCCTCGCTTTATTCCAGAGCATCTTGCATGTCTTTTTATGCCCACATCTCACACTCCCATAGCACATGAGGGATGGTTCTTATTTCCTGTTTAGGGAATTGTTTAATGTTTGATGTTTTATTGTGTTTTTAATAATCTGTTGGGATCCACCCAGAGTGGCTGGGGAAACCAATCAATCAATCAATCAATCAATCAATCAATAAAATTATTATTCCCATAGCTAATTGCTAACACTAGAGCTGCTGAGGTTCAAGCCTCAATGACAGCCAAATCCTTTTGTATAGAAGCCTTTCTCCCTAATCCCAGATATATGCAAAGTGGTTATGGTTAATCGGTGATAAGGAAAGGAGCTCAGCACATGCTTGGAGGCATTCTTCTCTATGTTTACATCACACAGACCCGAGCATCGAAGCTGTTGTCTGGAAAGAACTTGTGATTCTACCCAAAGTCTGGTTTTGTAGATGAGACCTTCTGTTTGGATTGGGGTTTTTTCCCATGGAAACATTTCCTCATGTGAAACTTAAGGAGATATAATGGCCATGTGAGATTTGTACCACCACAGTGTGTTAGGCACCACCTTAGATCTGAATCTGCTGAAATGCACTTTAAATGAGCCCACAAGGGCTGCAGGGTGACTTGGTAGTGGCTCTAGCAGTACTATGTCGCTAGCTGATGCAGTGCTGATGGAAAGCAAACACAACCAAATAATCCAGCACTGTATCATGTACCTCAGCAAGGGAGGGGCATGATAGCCCATTGGGTACAAAAGTAATTCCTGCTCCAGGATCCCAACCAGCCTTCCTGGTTTTTCTGGCCCCAGAGCATTCAACCTGCCAGAACATGAATGGGACCTACCATGGGGAAGGGCCATAGCTCAGATCTGCTTTGCATGCAGAGGATCCCAGGTTCAGTCTCTGGCATCTCCAGGTCAAGCTAGGAGAAACCCCTGCCTGAGACCCTGGGGAGATGCTGCCAATCAGTGTAGACAGTATTGAGCTAGATGGACCAATGGTCTTACTCAGTATAAGGCAGTTTCCTATGCTCCTAATAGTAGTAAGGCAGGCATGGCCAAACTTGGCCCTTCAGATGTTTTGTGACTACAATTCCCATCATCCCTGACCACTGGTCCTGTTAACTAGGGATGATGGGAGTTGTAGTCCCAAAAACATCTGGAGGGCCAAGTTTGGCCATGCCTGTAGTAAGGGAAACATGAAATAAAATTGCTTTCCCCACCCCTTTCTGGCACCTCTCCCTTGACAGAAGCACATCTTTCCCATCAGCCTTGAAGGTTGCATGTTGAAGAAGTCGGGAAAGATTCAGACGGCAATTTGAGCTGTCTGAAAGCCACAGGAGATTGTAAAATGGTGGAGTTTCAAAACTGCATGGTTTTCTGACAACAGAGGCAGAAGTGTGATGCATTTATTATGTATGCCATGCTAGAGGGAAGAAAGCTGTGGAGATGTAAAGAAAAGCTGAGAGGGTTCTCTGTTGCCAGAGGAAGTGCGTTCTCTACAAATGAGATACAGAACATTTCAGGCTCAGGGGGAGAAAGGACTTAATGGGCGACTTCCAATTAACCACTCTGAACTTCAACGTTTGGAACATGCTGGCTGTGACTGAGCCACGTAGTTTTGAGACGAAGCTCAAAAAGGTGCTTGAAGAAGAATAAAGGGATAGAAAACCTAGAAGAGATTTTTTTCTTTTCTTTCTTTTTGTAAATGAGAAGTAATTTTTAAAGAATAAACTCCGGTTATGTTACAGCTGGGCAGAGTACATGGACACTGATCAAAACAAATACGTTGTGTATCCAGGCACTTTGCAGAGACATACTGAGAAAGAAGCTAAAAGGAGAGAGTGATCACAGCCAGGAAAAAAAAATGCCTAAGACACAAAATTCTGAAAGAAGCTAAAATATGACTTAATGGTTTATATGGAACTGTCAAAAATTCCCCCAAGGGGCATCACTTATGGTGGGGGGGAGGGAGAGAGCGAGAGATTGAATACCCTGAGCTGAGGTTTCTACATACCGCATTTTTCCATGTATAAGACTAGGCTTTTCTCCTAAAAAATAATGTCCAAAATTTGGGGGTGTCTTATACATGGATAGATCTCCCCCCATTTTCTTAAATTGGAATCCCCCCAAATTGGGAGTGCCTTATACATGGGGGCGTCTTATAGATGGAAAAATATGGTAATTGTTTGAAATCAGTTTTGATTGTGCAGACTGTAGTCGTTCAAAAATCAGAGCACCATTTGCAGAAAATAATGGGGGCTTGCTCATAAACTCAGGAGCGTGTTGGGTTTTCTACCTCCTTACAGTTGTGTCGCTGGACTGGGTACCGCATAACGTTTCCATTTACAAGGGCAGCTGCTGTAGATTCTTCTGGTGCTTCTTCCACCACAAATGTTGCAGTAAAGAAGCCTTATTGTGACTATTCCTTTTCCAGCATAGCAGGAAGGAATGCAGTTCCATGCCTTCCATTCCACCTGTCCAAATACCTTCCCTCCTCCCATATCTTCTCTGGAATACAGACTAAAGCCTGTTTGCTGCTGCTGCTGCCAGTGAGGAGGATGGGCAAAGTTGACACTTCAGCAGGAGCCACAGCAATTAGTTCTGTTGCTTCGGAGCTTTTCAAAGAAAATGCATGTTCTCTGGACTAACAGGTGGCAACTGCAGAGGGGAAAGCTATATAGAAGAAGGATCATTTGCTGTAACAAAACCTGTGCCCTGTTCCATCGTATACCAATTAAGAGTAACTTTATGGAGCATGGCATCACCCATTTTTGTCTGATGGAATTTAGTTCTGCTGCACTTCTATTGCATGGGGTAGAAGATGGCATTTTGAAACATCTTGCGTTATGTATGGGAAGTGTCTGTTTCACTCTAAAGCGCTGGTAGTTTCTCAAATAAGATGTGCCGGGGGGGTCTGGTCAACCTGACAGCCCTGTTCTCTGAAAGCAGGGGGTTAATGCTGAGAAAGAAGCTCTCCACACATGCTCAGTGGTACTGTTCATATTTATGTCACAAGGCCCAAGGCTGAGTGCTTGCATATGATTCTGGGGCCAGTCTCTGGTTTGCTGCACCTCAAATTAAGCTGCATGTAAATGGATCATGAGTAGCTTATAGAAAAGGGCATCTTGCACTGCTTCAGAGTGAAATAGACATCAGATAGGAAGAAACTGGACATGGGCTGCATTTTTTAAAAAAATTGTAAGAGTACTGCATTGCAGGGGGTTGGACTTGATGACCATTCCAACTCCGCAATTCTACAATTCCATGAGTGCAAATAACAGATGTCAGCAACCTCAAATCCTGCCTGGAAATTCATGAACTAAAAACTTTAAAGCAACACATTTCAGCAAGAACTGAAGGCTAGAAAGGCACATCCGAGCAAGTTCATGCAAGGTAAAATTAAGATATTGTATTTGTTCACCAAGAAGGGCACCCAAGCTTAAACGTACATATACACAGCCGCAGTCATAGCTGCTTTAATCAGAAGTTTGCATGCCAGAGAGCGTGTGGAAGAATGCAAACAAAACAGTTCTGCTCTGAGATAGGACCTGAAAAAAGTGCTCCAGGGAAAGTATAGATACTGTTCTGCAAAGTGTGGGTTTTGTTGCATGTAGCCAACATGTGTGGTCCGGAACCCTCAGGGCCCAAACTAAGAAGACACATCCATCTGTCCATCTCTTTGACTAAAGCTGTCTGACAGTGGAACAGGCTGCCACAGAAGCTGGTGGACTCTTTTCATTAGAAGCTTTGAAGCAGAGGCCAGAAAGCCACCTCTGAGGGATGTTGTCAGGGTGCCGTTCCTGCATTGGTAGCAGGTTAGACTGGATGGCCACTGGGTTCCTTTCCAGGACTGATCCTATGGTTGCGCACACACTAACCTGCTTGTAGCACAAATGTATTTTTCTCAATCTGGAATCGTTCATGTTTGCTCTCAACATGCTGTTTTCAATCTAGATTGATTCTAGATACTACCATCTTACTAGGGTGGCTGTGGTTACTTGA